TTTAAAAACTTCAATTGTCATCTCTTGAATAACATGAACTCTAACTTCAGTGAAAGTGAGCCGAATCCCCAATATGCGGCTTTTACTCTTTTTCCAATCCCAAGAACACATTTTCACATCCTTAAATCTCCTTCTAAATGAGGTCCCTAAGGCAAAACTTAATTCACAATACAACTTTTGTTGCTTATTGAAGAATTTATTCTAACACAAAATGGAACATACCATGGTTGTACAATGTCGAAAATCCCTTAAGCTTTCTAACCAACCCATGTAACAAGTGTTAGGCCAATACCTCCCAAGCCAAATGGCTTTAGGGTGCTAAGTGTAAAAACACTCCTAGGACTTAATAACTCGAGTTGAAAAGGCTACGAACTTCGACGAACCAGATTTATTTATTTTTGAATAACCGTACAATGTCAAAGTTCTTTGAACTTTCTAACCAACCCATGTAACAAGTGTTAGACCAACAACTCCCAAGCCAGATGGCTTTAGGGTGCTAAGTGTAGAAACACTCCTAGGACTTAATAACTCGAGTTGGAAAGGCTACGAACTTCGACTGGTCCTTGATTTTTTTTTTTTAAGTTATAGCCAAGGGTATTCATTCATTAGGGTCATCAATTCAGATCACTGAGTCCCGATCAAGGTCAATTTAGGTTGCATGCCTTACGATTAAGTTTTCGGTGTGCAAATGTGCAATGTGAAGCATAAAAGAGTATGAAATCCGACGAAAATTTAATTGAAGTCTTCATACAAACCAACTATGAATCAATATGCTTATTTCAAAAGTTTCCTTATTTTCAAAACTTATCTTGGCTTCTATACACAAAGTATTAAGTACATGCTTCAACCTTCAAAAATTTCCTGATAAGCGCCGAATATTACATATTCAAGTGCCCTTTCTTGCATTAGTTAAGTCTGTTAATGGAGTAGAATGTACAGTTTTAATTCATTTTTGCACTTTTGTCTTGTTTCAGGTCGGTCTCCCTGAATTTGATCAAAGAAGCGGTTTTGGCATCAATTATGTTGAAATACGTGCGCTGTGCCGGGGAGTCATCTTTTGGACCTGACTTCTCCTGTTGCCGTTTTATAAAGTCATGACTGAGTGTTCATCATGGGAATGCATCCACAGTCCGGCTTGAAGAAGGCTTGCAAGAAGCCTTGATAATGTTACAAAGGCAAGCTCCCGTGAGCACCCGTCGCGCCACCGCGGGCGCCCGCCGAATGCCTCACCTCTCTGTCTAGTTTTGCGGTGCCTTGCAGAAGCCCCCGCAGTAGCTCCCGTGCACCACTGCAGGCGCCCACCATCGCGCCGCGGGCGCCCGTCAAACATGTCAGTACCATCGTCGCGAGCCGCAGCTTCAGCGGGCGCCCGCCGGCGCCTCGCGGGCGCACGCCAGCCCTCTGCAGGCAGTTCACCTGCCCCTTTTTTTCAGCATTTTTGTTCCCTTATCTTCCTTTTATGTGGTTGAGATTGAGCCAGAGAGGGGAGCTCGGGATTTTGGAGCATGGGGAGTAGGTTTTGGAAGGATAAGAAGGGGGTATGATCATACGTATCTCATATCTAAAATTTGAAGAACTAGAGGGGAGGTGGAGAGCTTTTTGGGTGTTCTTGGAGCTCAAGGTGCAACAATGGAGAATTATTCTTCTTCCTTCTCTCCACTCCTTGCATTAATGGGTAACTAAACCTCCATCTAGGGAGGTGATGATGCCTTCCCTTGTAATCATGTTTTAGATTAGGCTCTATTTTGGGGATAAATATGTATAATTTTTGGTCTTCTCATAATCTAGAGCATATTACTTTTTGTAATGAATTTCAATGTTCATAAATGATTAATGTAAGTTAATTATCTTGTCTTTGATGATCCTTATATTAATCTTAGTGCTTACAATTTCATTGTGACAATGGAAATAAGATTATGAGTGGTTTTCATGGCATGTTGATAGAGAAACTTGATAGTCCATTGCTTAGGTATTCCCTTTGATGGTTTATACTTGATTCCTAGCTTCATGTGCTTTATCATTTGATTAATGGCTTGATAGTCTTTTGCTTAAGGTAGTAGGTTTGATGCTACACCATAGTTTAGGTAGTTCAAATGTATGAACTTTTGATGGATCATTCTTGTTTTGATTTAATGAACTTCTTGATGATTATAGGGTAACCATGTGTTGCTATATAATTCTTGACCATTATATATATATATTATCTATCCCCAATTTATTCTTGATCTGGCATGTGTTTAGGGTTTAGTGCGGATTCACTTCCCTAGTTCTTTTTAATTGTCTTTGCCTATTTATTTCATAGCATTACCATTTTATGCATTTCTCAATTCATAGTTTTAGTGACAAACCAACAAATCCTCTATAAACCTCCCTTGTCATTCTAAAAGATGACTTTAGACACTTAGGTTGCCATAAACTAGCAGTCCCAGTGGTTCGACTTACCCGACCAATAGCCCTATTTTATAATGATTTGTGCTATTGCAAAATGGGTTGATTTATAATTGTAATCGATCCGTCGATCAATTTTTGGCGCCGTTGCCGGGGACTGCAAACGGTTTAGCAACCGAAGTTCTAGGGTTAACTTTGGTTTGATTGTTAATATTGTGATTTGTAAATATTTCTATTGTGGTTTTGACAATTCTGTTGTTGTAAGTTATGTGAGATTCTAGGAACTCGGGGCTCACTGAGGGAACGCTAGCAAATTTGTAAGTCTAGGGGACTCCAGGTAAGTTTCTTGACCTTCTAGTTTCCAAATTGTGAATATCCTGCATGTGTTTAACTTAGTGTTATTTAGCTTGTGAAGCCCTTGTCGAGGCTATTCCTGTTTTACTGTTTTACAAAGCATCGGTCCTTGTCGTGGCCATTTATTTTCTGTGTTATTGATAATTAAGGAGAAAGGGATCATTGCATGTGGATGTTTTGGTGAAGGGTTGTTGTGTATCTTGTCTGTGTTGTATATATTTTGTGTGAATTTATCTTAATGTATCTAAACAAGTGGCTGAATTAGTCCTAAATGGAGGGTAATTATCTTCCAACTCAATTTTACACACCACATGAGTTTTGTGCATATTGCTCTAGTCATACACATCATATAAGAGATTGTCCTCCACCGGGACAATTCTCAGATTTTTATCTAGAGCAACCAACTGAAAATTTCTTTGAACCGGGTAATGATCCATATTTCAATGGTTATGACTCGGGTTGGGGAGATCATCAAAACTTCTTGTGGCATGACATAGGAAATTCAGCCCCACAATCTCATGGGCAACATTTTCATGCCAATTTTCAACCCAATGATCATTATTTCCAGCCCTCTTCTCTTTTTCCACCATCTCAATTGGATGAGTTTATTGCTGCCAACAAATAAATGTTGGAGTCTATCAACAAGCAAATGACGGATTCCAACAAGCAAATGTTGGATGACACTGTTAGCATGTAATCCACCACCTATTCTCATTCCCAATCTAGAGTTGAGTTAGATGACCAAATAGCCCAAATTCAACAAATGGTTAATGCTCTAAATGATGAAAAGGAAAAAGAATTTCCAATTAAACTTGTGGCCAATCCAAAAGAAAATTCTATGAATGATGAGATTACTTCTAGTAACTTTCATCATGAGAATGATCAAATGGTTACCACATGTGAAAATGAAGAAATTGTAGTTAAAGATCAAATTGTTGCCATGCAAAAAATTGAAGAATTTGTGGTTCAAAATGAGGAAATTAATGATGAAGAGATTATCTCCCTTGAAAATCCAAATCAACCCCTGAATAATCCTTTGCTTGATACACCTCCTTTAATGGAGGATCCTCTAAAAGCTTGCTTGGCTCATTTCAATTGTGAGAATTTTGATGTTGACAATTCCATTTGGGAGGTAAATTCTTTGTTTGATATTCCTCCACCCATTCACTCTCTTCATTGGGCAACATCAAATGTATCTCTTTCTTGGGAGATTGCATCTCTTCCCATTCCCTCACTTGAGTTGTCTCAAACTGTTGAGCCCGAACCACCGGATAAGTGTAAGGAGGATGTTGAAAGTGTGAAGGATATTTTTCCGAAAATTCCCACGCCAAATCTAATCCTTCACCAGTCTTTGCTAGATGTGCTCTCACTTGATCCACCTTCCCATAATCCAAATCAGCCTCACAATCCAAAGTTCTTCATTGAGGATGAAGAGTGGGTTGAGATCTTTCCTTTACCTCTTTTCATTTTTTTTTCTTCAAGCTCTTTTTCTTCCGTTTCTAAAAGAACTTTGTTATTTGGGGAAGTATGGCTCTCTAGAGAGACTTGGTGTAGGGTAAAATCTACTTTGAGATTCGTAGTTAGATTTTATTTTATGTTATTTTAGATTTTATTTTATTTCATTTAGGTGGCACAGTAATATAATTTATGATATCACATTATGCGATACTGTTGATCCTATATGTGGGATGGTGTGAGCCTTATTACCATAGTTACGACATTGATTCCAAGTTCTAAAGCAATTAATGATATAAGTACCTGAAAAACACTCTGCACCTGCAGGGAAGGAGGCGCTAGTTCCCTTCGCCTTTTATCACATGCATCTTATCTTTCAAGTGTAATGATATATGGGATCCATATCGATGTGTTACTTTGTTCTTGGGATATTATCCCTAAAATAACGAGTAATGCTACAAAATCCGGTCAGACAACAATAACTATTGTACGCTTGTTACTATTTGAAGAAAAAAAAAAAATGCATTTAAAATGTGAAAGTATAGCATTAGATCTATCTAGTAGGTGGAATGCAACTACGAGCAAATACTTGTCAGAGTACATTGCAAAGCAAACAACATATGATTTGAGAACTGCAAAAACTGTGGAAGGTATTTGTTGACGATTAAACCAAAAAATGTACATTACAAATTTTATAATTGTTTATATACATACACCAATACAATTTTAATATTCCTTTTCATTTGTGTCGTTTCAAAATGCTTTAAATGTAATGACTAAAATTTGACTCGCATTGGAGCCAATTCAATTGAAGAAAATATTTATGCTGTCAAATAAATGAAACCTCAAACAAAATATTCACAATTGGGCTTAACCTCTCTAATCAACATACTTGCAACAAAAATGAAACAAACTAACAAATGCATGTTACATTCGCTCACGTTTAATTGTACAAAACAGACTCTTTTTTCCTTTCTCTTTTTGTAAAGTTTCTTGTTCTCACATGCTATAAATTTCCCACTAAAATTTGTCAAGACCCACGAAACCGAATAACAGCACCAAGGGTCCATCATTATTGCTTGAGAGATGACAATTGCATTTCCTAATAAATTTCCCACTGGAAGGCATTACCGAAAACAACTGCTTTCTCTATCAAAAAAATGGACTGAATAATTGCAGAGACAATATATAGACTACGACCTCCATTGCCCCACCAAAAATAAGGGTGGAGGAACGAACAAAACGGATACGCCTAATGCCCATAAGCCTTCGTTCATGAGCTGCTTTGACGCACAAATCAGAGGAGCTTGCTGGTTCGCCGCCTTGAAGGCCCTCCAGGAAAGAGCTTCATTATCCATCCTAATACCCTTTCCACCACCTAGGAAGAGAAAAGAAGCAGCAAATTATCTAATTAGCAGCTAGTTCAAAGGTGCATGGTGTGTCTACACATTACTTTATAGGATGTTCCTTGAACAAAGACAACATAAAGCTGGAAGAGAAATAATTAATCCCGCAAGGCCTAAGATACTAGCAACAAAAATTTCTCAGGAAGCTTCATTGGTAAAAGTTAGAGAGTCATTGCCCTCATGTACCCTAAATTAAAAGACAATATAATGAGACACAGTATCGAATTTAAAAGAAATAAAAGGGCTGAAATCACTGTTGCGAATAGTGTTTAAGCAGAGAACATAAAGCAAGGTATGCAGTAGTGGTCACGGCCATAGCAACGGTTGTGGTGTAACAAAATTGGACTCGTAAAGTCGTAACGTAACAAAGTTGGTTATCACAGTCGTGAAATTTACCATCCACATAGTGCTCAAAGTGCAAATTTTTACACCATAATTTAATAAAGATGAATTTTTAGTAAATTTTTTAATATCATTTAACACAAGTAATAATCTATTCATGAATTCTCAGCCAATACCGTTATTAAAAAGGCTTACTAATTATGCCTTTTACGAAATAAATAAACAAAAATAAACTCAATTATGAAATAAATGAAAATACTTACTATATGAGAATTTAAAAAAAAAAAAAAAAAAAACAAAAAACAAAAAAAAAAAGAATTTGAAAATTCAACTTTGACAACACAATATATAAATTAGAGAGACATGCATATATGCACACACAAAAACATACCCAAATACACATATCTACATCTAATAGTCATCTATACATGTGTTCTAGTACTCAGTCTTCTCCATTGATGTTATGAACTACAGAGCTGCATTTGAATCATGCATAATTCACTAGTAGTAGTAGAAATATAGTATACCGAAGTAGAAATATATAGTAAACAAACACGGTAGCAAATCCAACCATGTATAAGTCTCATTGGATAGATACAAAGAAGATGTGAGTCCGTAGTAGTAGAAATATAGTAAACATACAAGGTAGCAAATCCTACCTTGTACAAGTGCCACATCGGATAGAAACAAGGAAGATGTGATAAGTGACTTATAAAACCATCAAGAGGGTAAAAAATTACACTCAGGTTAAGAGATGGGCTGGTTCTAGGATAGAAATGCTAGCTAGCCCCTTATATATATATATATAAGTAAGCATTGGGCTGGTTTAACAATTTTTTTTACCAGTCAATAATTATAATTAACAGCTGAATCAGCAGGTGAGAACCGGCCAGTTCAAGGCTGTAACGGCCATTTTGAATAGAGTATTGGCCAATTCCTTGAGAACGGGCCGGTTCTCATGTCATTTTTGAGACACACTGGCATATCGGTGAGACTTGGTACCGGGTGGCTCAAAAACCATTGCAAACCGGCCAGTTCTCCAAAACATGACATAAAGTGACCCATTTATGCTCGGGATGGAAAATCTGAATCTATTATTTCACCCACTTCCCCTCCAAACGGACAGGCGCACGCGCGCGCACAGACATACATGTATATTGATATATGTGGTATAAGATTCTCTAAACACATCTGATATTGCATGAGACTGAAGCGGCATATCTGGAATCAGTACTGCAGTGGGGATGCTTTATGATTTACTGGTCTTGATAAGTTGGAGCAGTACAGCGTATGAAATCATTAAGAAAATGACAAAAAAGATAGAGAAGAAGGGGGGGGTGGAGGCGGCCAAGGGGAGAGGGGTTCAGGAAAAGCAAAAAAGGCATGTGACCGGGGAAATGGAAATTTCCTTTTTCCAGGATACTCCTAGGAATGGATCAAATGGATACAATGTGGGAACTGTAGCTTAAGGGGATTAGAGCAAATGACTATAACTGTGGAGTCAAGCTCAAGCGTTTAAATTTCTCCTCCACAACAGCACCAAAAGGGAAGGACCTTTCCCTTTGGAACTAGGGGAATCATGATCAGGATAGCGGTCCAAAAGCTATGAAATTTGGGTGTGGCTTTTTTGTCGAAATGGAATGACCTGTTATTCATTGTGAATGACGAAACTCAAAAGGGAGTTACCACGAGCGTCATTGCTAAGAACCGAACACACACCTCCACCCCACCCCACCTAACCTCCCATTGACTTTAGGAGTTGACATGGATTGGAAGTTCTAGAGGAGGGTCGAAAAGGAAAAACCAGCTGAAGAAATTCTTTTGATATAATTTTAAAAAATCTGAATGCGAATCTCAGAATTTAAAAGAAATGTTGAAAATATTCCTGACAAATAATCGAGGTAGAAACATAACTGACGTTAAACTAAAGGATCTAATGCTGGAAAGATACCTTCCGCAGCTAATCCTCTTGATAGTACGGTAGTAACATTTACCTGTGTAAATGTCTTCCATTCGAAATCTGGACAGAACCCGGGACTCTCTTTCTACAGAATCAAGGCTTTAACAGGGGATCTCCTTCTTTATATATACACTCGATAAAAGAACTGATTGTGTAATGATGAAACTAAAAGAGAATACTTGCCTAAAATGTATTATCCTTTCTTGAATGGAATCAAAGTTTCAAAGTTTTTTCTTCAGTCGTACTTCCATGGGACATGATGATGGAAGGGGTTCAAGAATCAGTTCTCTATTTATTCTCTTTTTATAAGTGCTAAAAGTTTATTTTGACGATCCCTTCAAGCAATTAGGAATATGATGCTTTAATGATATCAGGAATCTCTAATGGAAATTTGATTATAAACCTCAAATTTTTAAGAATGGGCATTAATTAGTTCTCTATTTTACTAAATAATGCAGAGAAGGATAGTGATTTTGATTGCAAAGAAGTTCAGCACACTCTTAAAATAGTGAAAGCTAATTTGAGGAAAGCTGAAGAAAAGAGACAGACAATTGAGGATTTAGCTCTCAAGTGAGCTAAGACAGGAGTAGAGACAATTAAAGTAATTTCATAAACTTTAAGAGCATTAAAAGGCATGAAAAATTGAGAAAGAGAGAGCTCCAATGCCTACAAAAGCCTGTAAGTAAATACAAAATAGGTTCACAAATTGTTTGCTTGTGGGCTTAAGTGCTTACCAATTGGCTGTCAGGAATGGGACTCCAAGAATCTACACTCACAGCTAAGTATGAAATCCCCAGGATTTCTAGGTTATCAGATATTCCCATTCAAATGTTGGCATTTTCAATAGTGTCTTTCTAATGTGTGGACATTTTTAGTAATGTCTTGGAAAGAATTTCAATTCCCATTTCAGTGTTGGTATAACCAAATGTAATGAAGGAATTGAATCAAATTCTGACCTATATTACATGGGCTCTCACTATTTCCCTTTCTGTACCCATGTCGACATGACACGATACGACATGGGTATGGGGTATAGCCGTATTGGATGCGTATCGGACACAACCAAATGGAACATCCCAATCCTACACTTGGCATGATTGAGTTTCCTATATATGAAATAGATAAACATATATATATATATATATATATATATATATATATAGATATATATATATATTTTAACCACATCTTATTTACTTAAGAGTAATAATTGGGTATGTTCTTATAAGACAACATTAAACTTTACACTATAATGAAACATATAATTTATTTAAATGTGTAGTACATGTCTACGTACCCATATCCAACTTTTGGACACAATCTCCCGTATCCCAAGCTTTGCAATTCGAGGAGGTCCATTACATAGACACTCACTCACACCTGATACAATTACTCAAGTCTGGTAACATAGATTCTGATTATTCTTTTTAAGGTAGACTTCAATAAAACTTTCAGTTACGTTATCTGGAGGGCCCAAGAATTAATTGTTTCTTGGCAAGTAACTTATATTTTAATTCATAAAATAATATATTATTATTATTATTATTATTATTTTTAATGAAAATTCAGAAGTTACATTACTTGGATACCTTGATCTTAATATACAATACTAAAACGGTCATTTTACCAAGTCACTACTATCTTACATGTTACAACTTTTATCTGAAGTTAGTCAGTCAGTATATGGTATTTCATTAATAAAATTAGTGTAATTTAACTAAATAATAATATAACTTTAATAGTATTGAGTTGTATTTACATTTTTTACTATTATAAATATTTGTGAATAATTAACTTTATGGCCTTCAGACTTCTTAAAAATTACATAGGAATAGGAATGAGAAACCCCATTCTTGGTGGTAATGGGATACTTGCTATTTGAAGGTATTCAATTCCCCAAGGAATGAGTGTGTCACTGTCAATTAACAAGCTCAAAATATGGTTACTGTGGGAATGGGATGCGCATTCCCATCAGAGATAGTGGTAAACAAAATTTGCTTCAATTTTTAAAGAAAAAAATAAATGCCTGAGAGATTGGTCTCCAAACAATCATCACCAATTTTTAGAATGCCAACATTTGCATGCTTACCTTCCTCCACAGAGGTATGATACATGATGAGTCTAAAATCTTTTAGGATAAGAAAATGGATTCTATTCTAAACATAATTGCTTACCTCATCTCCTTCATCCGCATATGCAGTGTTGTCATCCATGTTCCGAGCATCTAGTTGTCTTGCCGGGACAATCTCAGTTGCCATACTTTGGGAAGTCAAAAGCTCTAATCTTTGTGTTTGAACTTCAAGTTTTTGAGATAGCTCCTTGTTCAATTCCTTCATTTATAAAGAAACAAAATCAAGTAAACTAAAAGATGAGACATACAGCAAACTCAGTGTGATTGTGACCGCCAAAGCAATTTTGAAGCATACATTGCACCATTTCATTATCACTAAAAATATACAATATCATTATCCTAAAAGAAATATGATTATGAACTCAATCCCATAACTTCAAAATACAGTTCTTATAAGCAGAGATAATGTAGAACCATATATTGGGGACATGAGTGAGAGCACATGCATTTATAGTGATACATTATAATGCATTTAATGCTTCAGTACATTACTAGGATATAAGTATAACAACACAACTTTGGAGTACTTTTTTCTTTTCTCTCTCTCTTTGGAGTACTTTGAAAAAAGTTGAGTGGTTAGACAATTAATTCATGCTATTTTTTTGGTATACTTGATCTCTTAAATGCTGAAGTTTAATGTTTGCCAGATATAAGTATATTCCTCTAATCAATAGAGGCATGCCTTTTCAAAGGGAAATAAATGGTGCAGGGAAAATGGCTTTCCTGCCCATACGGTAACTTGAACCTTGATTGCAGTTTTCGCATCATGTACAAAATTTTGCAGGTTATATAGCTCCACAGACAGTGAGACTTTATTCTACTGAGATCAAGACTACCTTCAGTTTAGAACCTCGAGATGATTCAGCCGTCAGGGATTGCATTAATTCTTCTTTCTCCAACGCTAACTGCCAATACATAAAGTGCAATATTTATTATTTTTCGAAAGATGAAACTCCTTTCCTAGTAAGCTGCTTCTAGAAGGTAAACTCAGTAATATACTTTAATTAGCTCATCATTGGATTAAAAAAATGAAAATTCTGATGGAAATCCTGGCCCTTACAAGGAGACGGGGAAGAAAAATCCAGATATGCAAGATACAGTTGATACTGAAATATAGCAATGAGGGAACAAACGCTACCTCGGACATCAGGGCATTAATGTTTTGAATCATTCTCATTTGATCAGTAGGAATATTCAAAGATGACGCTTCAAGATTGAACTGTCTATTTTCAGGCAGCAAGTGGGAACTGGAGGCATTACTTCCAAAAACTGGTTCAGTATTGTGCATTTCCAGGCTTGAGGTGTCTGGTGTAGGATTTGCATCTTCCCCATGGACTGAAGAAACAATATCAATGTCCAAACGAGGCATCAAAAAGATGGATTCAAATAAAATTACATAAAATGAAAACCAATGGAGAAAGAGAATCCATGATCAGTATCCAGTAATTACAAATAAAGATATACGTCAGCATAATTGGGAGAGGGAAAAATAAATAAATAAAGAGCAAGAATCCCCTTAATATTTAGTATGAAAGAGGTGCATAATCTCAAGGTTTCACTTCAATCATTGATAATAATTCTTGATTTAGAACCTGAACTTAATTGCCTGCTTGCTGATTCAGCCATCATCGCACAAGTGGATTGAGCTTTTCTTTTCTTTTTTTATTTTTTACCAACAGCACAAATAAATCACTATATGCATTTCTTTCATATGCCATGCAACACTGCTGTGCTACAATGGCTTTGGAACTAAAAATTTGACTGCTCTTCAAGGATCCAAATGACCCAAACCCACACAAAGGCAAGGTTTTTTTTTTTTTTTTGATGGAAAGAAACAAAGGTAAGATCGTGATTTGATGTTTTCACATTCTCAATATGGGAAAATTGTAGTATGATCAATTGGAACAATTTTGAGCTTGGTCATGCTAGGTCAAGACTTCAGGCAAAGCAACCAAACCAAAGATCTCCCATGTATAAAATGCATCTTTATGATATGAAGTAAAAAGGTGGTGGCTTTCATAAATAATCAGGTGACCATATTCTAAAGTTACCCTCATTTGCCGCTAGGGGTGCAACATGGGTAGACCAACCTGAATCCAACCCAATTTTTATGGGTTTGGGAAACCAATTATGCAATTAGGATTAGGCTTGAGTCAAAAAACCCAACTTGAACTTACTTTGGGTTTGGCTCAAGTTGAGGAGTCATCAACCTAAACCCAACTTGAACCCCCGAATTTTAACCTCACTGTTTTTTATATTTAAAATTTAAATATATAATTTTTTAATCACGATTAACCTTTTATTTTACTTTCTTTTTCTTTAAATCCTTGTTTATTGCATATAAATCCTTTGGAGAATTAATCTCTCAAAAATTTGTTTACAATTTTATATATTCACATTCAATTTTTTGAAATTTTTATGGACTCGGAAAGGCCTATAGGACCAACATCAACCCTAGTGACGGACCCAAATAACTGTACAAGAGGGGGCAACCTTGAACAACAAGAATATATAGCGGGGAATTATAAAAAATTTAGTGGGTACATTTTAAGATTTTAACAAAAATCATAGGTAATTTTGTAAATAAAAAAATTTCAGTGGGGGAACCCTTAATAGGTCCGTCCCTTGTCAACCCTATTTTCTAACTTGAAGTAAACCTAAGAAAAAATATTTTAACTTGGGTCGCCTCAATTGGAGAGAACTCTTGTTCTGCCACAAATAGACCAAACATCTATGCATAGACTTTTGCTTTAACCAATGAATTTGAGCCTATGTGACATGAATTCGGATACGTGTGTCATGTACGGGTATGTATCCACAATAACTAATTTCAGATTCCAGTACATCACAAAAAACCAAAGCAAGATCAATTAGAAGGTAATAGCTCACCTCTCAACCAATAAAAATTCATAAAACTACACTTGGTAGACAATTAAAACTATAATAAAAAATAAAGACTATAAAGTGAATAAACTAGGAAACTGACTAATAAACTCCTTTTAGTTCCTCCTACACCACAAAGGCAGGTCACTGCATATAATAAATGTTCATTGACCAGAAAATAATTAAATACGAGACTCTAGAATTTTTGGCTATCTAATACAACTCACTTTCATTCAAAAGTGAATTAACTTGATTATCATTACATTTCCCAGCATGTGGCAAAAAAAACATTTAACTCAAAAGCTGCAATAATGAAAAACACAAAACTAGCAGAAGTACCTAGATCCTCTGTAGAAGTTGACATATCCTTTTTATTAGGGAGATTCTTGCTAATATCAATGAACTTCCCATTTGCAGAAGCTTTCCGAAATTTGGCTTGCAAGAGCTTTTTCTCTGTGCAAAGGGATAACAATGAGAATGGAGAAAATACAAGCATACTTAACATTCATGGAGTAATTTCAAGACTACTATGCCCTAAAATACCTAAATTAACATAATAACATTCAGAACATAACATTAAGGCACTAGGGACAGATCAGAATGTATGCATAAAAAAGAAAATTATATGCAACAAAAAGTAACCCACACAGTGAAGCAAGATATTCTTGGATGTTTAACGAAGCACCTCTATTTAAATTTCTTCTTCTTCTTTCATTTTTTTTTTTTTTTTTTTTTCGATAAGGTTAAGCCCCTCTATTCTTGGCATCAGAAGTCACATATTTGACTAAGTACATAGACAGATTTACTCAAAACCAGTTGTAAGAAAAATATAATGGCCTATCAACGAGTTCAGTCAAGATGGCCCTAGACATTTTTTTTTAAAAAAAGATGGCCCAGGATGAGTAAAAAAAAAAAAGAAAAAGAAAGCCAACCCAAAAAGTTGGAAGACGAAAAAAAAATATTCACCATTTTTTTTTTAATGGTAAAGCAAACATACACACCCTTTTGCCCAGGCCCGGGTTCAAATCCCTCCCCCTCCGCATAGGAATAAATCCACATTTATATAAAATAAAAAACAGAAAAAAGAAATATAACCTATATTTTTCTCCTTCTCCTTGTTTTACTACTTTGTAACTCTAAATAATTTTGTCCATTTATATATTTATATTATATATGCCCAAAGTAGACATTTATGCAAGGTTTATAAAATAATTTTTATTTATACATGATCTTATCTTAGTTTATATATATATATATATATATATTTAAAAGATATAGAAGACTTCTATGTAGAGAATAGTATATTATAGTTTATTTATATATATATTTTAATTTGATTTTCATAAACACTAGTTTCCCCCACACCCCAACAAGTTTCTAGGTCTGCCCTTGCTCATTGTTAAGATAGATGGGAAAACTATAGTCAATTATCTGCCATCAGAAGTGTTCATAAAGTTGCATATACTTTTCTAGATAACCTTCTAATATCTGATCTCTGTAAGGCGGGTTAGGGTAGACAAATTAAAAAAATGGGGCACAATGCCATAAGTGAAGGCTGCTACTAAATATTGGTCCACTAAGGTGATGGAAGGGATGGACTGGAGCAATGGTATGATTTTTGCACAAGGAAAATGGATGAGAATCCTTCCTAAGACCACAAGACTCAAAAGATACAAGTAAGCAGAGAAAGAATCGAAGCCTTACTAGAACATCAACGTAGAGATGCCCTCTAAACCACTTTTACATAGTAGCTCCTATTTTGGACAATAAATCACCAAACCATTGGTTATCATCAGCTTCCAATTGAAACTGAATGAAGTATATCCATTTATACCAACATTTTTCATTAAAAAATCTGATACTTCTAAAAGGCCAACCTTCCCTTGTTGACCCAACATTCATCAAAGAGGAATCTCCTTCCAACAATCAAATATATAACATATTATGGAAAGCCTATCTAGGACCTTCTCAAAAGGACCAAATTCTATTTTGATGGAGGATTCATATTAACCCAGGTTATCTAAAGAGTTTCTGTCAAAAGTTGAATTCAAGGATTTCTGCTGGAGCTGGCTTCCAAGAATGATGATCCCTCAGAGCATAATGTATAGATGAGACAATCACATCCAATCTCCAAAAATGATGCCAAACCAAAGCCAGAGTGAAGTCAGATATGAAATTTATCCCAAATCTCTTTCAAAGAATTGATCTTCCCTTTCATAATTCTTGTGTTCCTCTCCATCCAAATTGTCCAAAATAATGAGAAGAATGGCACAAGATCACAAACCTTAGAACAGTTGTGCCCTTATAGATTTGTGTTTTATTCAACTTCACCAATTACAATAGTGGATTTCGGAAATGTTGGAAGCCAGAGTTTTAATTTTAATGGAAAGATTCTGGACAACTTTTAGTTCATTACGGTTCCTGAATAATCTGAAGGGATATATGTGATGATATTTGACAGGCACACTCTCTTTGATTGTTTTTTTTTTTATTGTTCTCTATACAAGAAAAGTGAAAAGGGTGAAACTGTGAGACTACACTGTGGTTGGAATGCTAAAACTCTTAGTTGTAGAATTGTTCTGTAAAAATAGTTGAGCACAACCAAACCAAAAAAAGGAAGTGATAGTGGAGCACAATAATGCAACCTTCTTGTAGAGAATCAATAGTGGATTGCAAGTCTTGACGCTCTTTCTCAAGCCTTGACACTTTCTTTCTGCAAGATTCAACATGGAAAGATTATTGTCAAATATTTAATCATGATTAGAAAAAAAAAAAACTTGTTAGGAAGTAGCACAAACAAAAAACTGTCATCCTCTTATTGCATGTCGTACAAATCAGAGTGAATCATATTGTTTTATCAAAAAGAAGACTTCCTGGGAAAATGTAACGGTAGCTTTAGCAAACAGCAAACAAAGAAGCAAGCAAGCAAGTTAAGTACCAACAGACAACTACATCCCGATTTGCAAGATAAGATCTCTAAATTTATTACAGATTCAGACCAAATTCTTATATTGATTTTCAAGCACAATAGTATCACTGACATTGTAAACTACAAGAAATCATAATGAAGAACCACATAACATGCATAAGTTTCAAACAAGTTCCATTTCATCCTAATAAATAATTAAATGTCCAAGTCATTCAAATATGTCCTCTAAATTATGATGCCACCAGCATTTCTGTAGGAATTAGTCAACAATGATTATCGTAAATTGTTTTTGTAGAGAACCAAAAAGGTTTATTCATTATATGTCGTTGAGTGAAAATAATATTTTAGGATCACTTCCTTTGTTGGTCACTTTTATACACATGGCATTATAATAAGTCATGTCCTAACCATTCATGACATACTTTGTCAAGTATAATTCATTCATAGTGGCCAGTGGAAGTTCATCGATGGTAGGGTGGTGAAGGACAGTGGTACCTCGATCACAGAAGTATGCACCATTTTTACAGAATCAAGAACTTCATAATTAATGTCTGAATTACCTCTAGTTACCCAACTAATTTTAAATAACTATAGAATAAGAAAAACTCAACTCAACTTAACAAAGCCTTACCCAGAACAATCAAGGTCGGATACATGAAACTAGTTTCATTATACCGCTCTATCTGCTATTATATGATGTAAATTCCTTATCATCTTAACCCAAATGAATTTTGGTCTTTCCTTCTCCTAGCATTAATCTCAATGGGAACCATGTGGGTAGCTTTGTATAAATAGCTTACGATATGGAAACAAATGCTTCACTATACAGTTTAGGTGATGCCCCACCACATAAGAAACAGCATATGCAGACAAAAATAATAAAAAAGAAACCAAATTTGAGAAACAGAAGACACAGATCAGAAAGTCGGTCTTTTTAATTTAGTAGTCAGGTAGCACATACTTGAAGGAAGAAATTTCAGCTTGAGAGTTCTCCATTTGCCTCTCCAGTTTGAGCTCACTGGACCTCAGTCTGAGTGCCTACACAAATAAAGTAGATACGAAATATAAGGAAAAGATAATGACAGAAAACATACCAGACCACGGGATATGTAATGCAACTCAAAAATCAAGAAAGATCTATGTTTTAGGGAAAATTACAGTATGAGATATCATAAAAACTAACTAAAAATATGTAGACAACTAATTAGAAAAGAATATTTGAGTCACATCCATCACAAAAATATTTAACCTTGCTTATTGGCTCTCATTAGGTTTCCAGAAGGGAAATAACCTAAGGCTTTACAACTTTCCAATTTGTCAAGCCCTTTTTTACCAGTTAGACACTTGATGGTTTTGCAAAAGGGATGAGATCCTCCAGACATTTAATTGGTTATGCAATTAACCAGAAAAAAAAGTCAGATGCAGAAATTTAGTTATAAAAGATGAAACCCAGCCTGATACGTAACTGCCCGCTCATTATAGCATCATCTGCTTCAGTACACAATCTTCATCAACAGTTTTCTCTAATATATTGCAGCCTAAAAAGTTGCCTATTCTTAATCATATGTTCTATAGAAGACAGGCTTGAAGCAATACACATGAAGCTGATTATCAAGTTATGACAGGCATGTATCAGCTGACTATAACGGGCTAGGTACATTTTCTCAGACAACAAATGGCAATATAACTACTCTTTAACAATAAAGAAAAATTAGCATCCCTTTTCAAGGGAATTTTCAATGCTGGTAATACCAACTCAGTGAAGGAGTTCAATAAGTTCACTTCAACAATTCCCATTCAAGTAGAGGTGCAAGGTGAAAGTCCAAGGATCCTAACTTCGTAGTGCCAATCAACAGATTCTCAGACTACCGTTCCTTGTCAGCAAATCTTATAATTTTTTACACCAAGCATCGAATATAGCAGTAGCAGTGTAACATTAATATAGCTGTATAATGTTCCACATTTTTATGGTCCACACAGAATAGCTAAAAACCTTTTCAAATGAATAGCTTATTTGCCCCTCCTCTTCCCCCATCAAGAAAAATAGATAAATAAATAAGAGTTGCAGCCACGAGATGAGGGTTTAGGAAAATTCAAGAAAACCTACAAATAATGCAAAAGATTCAATGAGACTGAAATAGAGTGTTCATGGGACAGAACTCTGAGGATGTGCTAACAATGACATCGGAAAACACTAAAAAAAAACTCAATATAATGCTGCCTACCAATATTTTTATGATGGTTTTAGGTTATGGAAGGCTTAAAAGGGTGGAATCTAAGTTTTGTAGACTCTAAAGGGTGGAATAAAGATTCTAAGGTTTGTAGATTACAAGGGGATGAATCTGGTTTGGTTTTAATAAATGACAGGTGGTTGGATCTTTTTACCCGTAAGTGAAGCAACTGAAATTTCAGAAAATTGTTTGTTGAAACTCTGGACAACTAATTATGAAGTTCATGTGTTAAAATTTTGCTGGGCTTGATAAGGTAGAGTACTGAGAATGGAAATTAGGAGGAAATTGTGTCTGTTTGGAGACTTCCAGTTCTGTGAACAATTTCGCTCGTAAAGGTAGGAATTTGATGTTGGAAACATATTATTCTAGAGTCTGCTTACAAGGTAGAAGAAGAAGAAGAAGAATGTTGAAGGATTCTCACCAAGAATTCCTTGGGCCGCTTCACCCCTTAAGAATTGCACTGTATAATCGAAAATTCTCTAGAACTACAAAAAAATAATTATAACAAAAATATAATAGGGCCAGTAAAGCTCTACTTCTAGAAGGACTAGCACTCCGGAAAAGGAAACTAAGAAATTTGCCACTGAAGAGTACTCTAGAACTACTAAAAACTAATTATAACATGATTATAAATAAAATAAGAACCATAAGTCATAATTACAACCCATCAAGTCTTTGATGTACAAAAAAAATATATTAAACTACACCAGCAGCACAGCAACACATGGAAAATAGATAATAAGATTCAAGTTAAATAAAGACGAGATCATACAAGGTCCCAAGATCTCTCCACATGAAATTTCCTATTTGCCTCTTTCACTTGTGGGAACACTCGACATAAAAAAAAAAAATACTAAGGAGGAAATTTATAATATACAGATTCTGAACTTCAACATTAGAATAGACTAAATAATCTGAGTTAAGGGTGGACGTGTCTCTCTTGAAAAGGAATAAAAATATCAAGTAGTGAACGTGCTAAAGAAAGATGAATTCACACTTAGGTCAATTTTCTGATCTTAAAGAGCATGTTCCAGTTTAGTTTCCATCAAAAAGATGTCTCAATCAAGAAAGAGATGGAACAGTAGATTAATTGGAACTATGCTTGAAGGTATTAGATCTAGAAGAATTATGGACCAGAAGGGTGTTTTAGTTAAATACTATGTAGTTGGCAGTGACAAGAACCACAAAGATGAATTGTCTAAAGGATCACCGTCACTACCATTCATTGAAGTTCAAAGACAAAGGAATACAATGTTTTTCTCATCATTTAAAAATATCCTTCGTTAATTAGAATATTTTCAAGAAAGTCAAGGAGGCATCTATTATTATTATTATTTTTTATTTTTTTGTTCCCGACAGTTCAAGCAAACGCTCCCACACCCACAACATTGCCCGTAGCAGGGCTCGAACACCCTCTCCTTTATAAAGGAGAGATCATACCATCTGCGCTAATGCCCATTGGTAGTCAAGGAGGCATTTTTTCTCGCTAATGATGCTTAAAAATTTATGGGCATTAATGAATTATTCATAATTGTGGAAAAATGCTTGAGTAGGAATCAATAGTTAGTTCAGAGCTTGGACTAACAAGCTTAAAAAGGCAATTCGAGTTCTGAAACATCAATTCATCAAAATAATGCCAAGGGTTAGGTCTGCCTACGGGTTTGTGTCAGAGACTAGCTACATTGTGCAAACTAAACGCCTAACGTTAGGTCTCTCTCCAGTCTCCCCCTCTCAACAGTTACTGTAGGTTGGACCAGCACTAGGTAAATGGCCTTTATAGATACCCTTTTTTTTTCCCCATAATCTATGCAATGAGAAAATTATTCCCCTTTTCTTTCTATCCTACAATTTAAGTTATTCTCATTGAAAGAGAGGTTTTATTTATTTGACCAAAGTACAATACTCAACAACACTTTCAATTAAAAGCTATAAAGATATGTACGATATTGCAAAGTTGACAAAATTTATATGCCTCAAACAAAGTAGAGACTTAATAAAGTAAAAAATAAATAAAAAGTCCTACAGGATGTAGTATTGAAAGCCTTTATTTCCTATTTTCACAGAATGCCTCCTGAGAATAAAAGTGAAAAAAAAATAAAATGTCCTACAGGATGTAGTATTGAAAGCCTTTATTTCCTATTTTCACAGAATGCCTCCTGAGAATAAAAGTGTCCACTACATTTTAGCAATTCATCATTCACAATCTCTCTGTACTTCCCCCCAACCCCCTCCCAAAAAAATCAGTAACAGAACAAAAGATTAATCTTCTTTTAGCACAGGCAAGTGTACCTTCTCTTCTAAGTCAATAACTTCAGAGTCCAACAACTTGGCACGTTCATCAGCTGCTAGGTAATGGCCTTCATAGATATGTGATGTCGTGGCCCAAATTTGGTGCCGGGTTTTTTGCTCATGGGTCGTGGACCCTAACTAGTCTCTTGTAGCCCTCATATATATAAGGGCGCTTAAGGTTTGGAGTGGTGTAAGAGAGAGACTCCGATTTTACACATAGTGAAGACTTTCGCCAAATCTCAACCATGGACGTAGGCTGTTGCCGAACCACGTATAAATCTGAGTTCTTTGTGTGATGTATTTAATTTTTTGTCGTGATACTTGATTTTTATCTTGGGTTCGCTGCGTTTGTCATAACAAGATACCTTTTTTTTTTTTTTCCCATAATCTATGCAATGAGAAAATTATCCCCCTTTCTTTCCAGATAGAGTTATTTCTGAGTCTCAAAATGCTTTCATTGGGGGTAGAGAGATCCTACAATTTAAGTTATTCTCATCTATGTTACCCGGACTCGGGTATGGGTGTCGGACACGGATACGTGTCTAGAGGTCGGATCCACCAATCTATTCAATTATAGGACACGGGGACACGGAATAAAAGTGTCCAAAGTTCGGACACGGGTACTTAGACACGGCACAGAGCTTGAATCACTTATTTACGTAAGTACACAACTGTGGTTCAACACATTTGATTTACCAAAAATTGTCTTATACTATAGATCATATATAAAATATTATGTTATGATGGATTGAAGGCCATCTTTTTACTATATCTCTTTTTTTTTTTCTTAAAAAAACACAGATCATTAATTCTAGAATTTATTATTTATTTAGACCCATACTAATACTAGACACGTCTAAATTATTATACAATAATAAAAGTATAACCTATTTAAGAAAAGTCAAAAAGTAAATGCACTGGGTCCAATAAAAAAAGTAACTGCACTGAGCCCAATGTGATAAAGGAACACACAAACAAAGAAAACGTGGCAGTAAAATGACCACTCAACTGCCACACGTCAGACCATTAAATAGAGAGATGAGTGGTGTGAATTCACTCTCGCATAAAATTAAAAATCGTATAACAGCCGCGCGTTGAAAACAACCATCTTCAACCTTAAAAAAGCCCGAATTTCTAACCAGCAGACGCGAGCATATCTTCTTCAGTCATTGATCAGCCATGTCCGATGGAATCAAGGGGTGTCCGACCCATATTTCGTGTCGGTGTCCGTGTCGCGCGTGTCAACACGGACACCCTGACCTAAACTGACGAGTCCAGGTAACACAGATTCTCATTGAAATAGAGGTTTTATTTATTTGACCAAAGTACAATACTCAACAACACTTTCAATTAAACCTATAAAGATATGTATGATATTGCACAGTTGACAAAATTTATATTTCTCAAACAAAGTAGAGACTTAATAGAGTAAAAAATAAATAAAAAGCCCTACAGGATGTAGTATTGAAAACCTTTATTTCCAATTTCCACAGAATGCCTCCTGAGAATAAAAGTGTCCACTACATTTTAGCAATTCATCATGCACAATCTCTCTGTAGTTCCCCACAACCCCCTCCCAAAAAAAATCAATAAAAGAACAAAAGATTAATCTTCTTTTAGCACAAGCAAGTGTACCTTCTCTTCTAAGTCAATAACTTCAGAGTCCAACAACTTGGCATGTTCATCAGCTGCTAGGTAATGACCTTTATAGATACTTTTTTTTTTTTTTCCTTTCATAATCTATGCAATGAGAAAATTATCCCCCTTTTTTTTCTATCCTACAATTTAAGTTACTCTCATTGAAAGACAGGTTTGATTTATTTGACCAAAGTACAATACTCAACAACACTTCAATCAAAAGCTATAAAGATACGTACGATATTGCACAGTTGACAAAATTTATATGCATCAAACAAAGTAGAGACTTAATAAAGTAAAAAAAATAACTAAAAAGTCCTACAGGATGTAGTATTGAAAGCCTTTATTTCCTATTTTCACATAATGCCTCCTGAGAATAAAAATGCCCACTACATTTTAGCAATTCATCATTCACAATCTCTTTGTAGTTCCCCCCAACCCCACTCCCCAAAAAAATCAATAACGGAACAAAAGATTAATCTTCTTTTAGCACAGGCGAATGTACCTTCTCTTCTAAGTCAATAACTTCAGAGGCCAACAACTGGGCACGTTCATCAGCTGCATTACATTCTAGGTGTGCATTTGCATATTCAATTTTCACCGACTCAAGTTCCACCTGCCAACGTCAAAGATGACAAAAATAACAAAAAATGAGAAAGAAAAACACAAAAAATACTCTACAAATAAGAGAACAAACAGAAACATATTAAATATACTTACTACGCTATGAACCATGCAAGCATATTTTAAAGATAGGATGGGAAAATTAAAATAGACATTATGATCCCAGACATGCACATCTGAGTAAGAACACACTTGACATTTATATATGTGGACATCAACAGCGAATATCTCGTACAAATTCCACAAAAACTTCATCAATCAATCAAATCTATAATGAATGGAATCAAGGAGGAAAAAGTTGGATCTATAGAGTGGGGAAGGGCTTCTAGAGTATTCTGTTGTGTATAGTGATTGAAAAGTCATCCACAAGGCCAGCCTAAGAAAAATGTTAGTCAATCTTCCCCCAATATGTAAAATCTTGAAATGAAAATAACTGAAGGAGCCTACGAAAATTGATGGAGATCAAAAGTATAATCCTTATTATTTGAGGTCCAATGCATATATCAATATTATCCAATCAGCTTTTTGTGAACCATTTTAGTTGTCAAATTTGAGGCAATCGCATTCTTTCTCAAACCCTCAATTCTTTTTTGGCCTTCTTCTTGTTCTTACAGTACCCTCTGCTTGAATCAAATCACTCCATATCAGTGCTTTCCTTAAACCACAGCTCAAATTTCTCGAGGCCACATTCATTTCTTCTAATCCATTGTGATGGCACTCGTCCATCTTAAAATCTTCATTTTGACAATAATATCTTTTCAAAATATAGTTTATTAGCTATCTAACATTTTCTGTCATAAAGCATGCATAGGACTTTCCTTTTAATGCTCGCATAACATTCAAGAAGCACATCTCTGTTTCATCAATCACGCTCTACATCTTTGTTTCATCCATCATGCTCTACTTCTATGGGTACCATCCTCATCTTGTAAGCACGACACTTCTCCTGGGAGTGTCGTGGCGGTATCTGACACTTGGACATGTGTCTTTTCCTAAAATTGAATATTTCTTTTTTTTTCTGGTTGGACACAGATTAAACACTTTCAGAACAAGGCGGAATAGTTTTTTATGATTTTTCTAAGAAGAATGTGATTCCAATGCAATTTTTAAATATATTATGGTTAGTTAGAAAAATAATATAAAATTTTTGAAAACAAAAACAAGAAACAGCTAACTCAAAGCACTAAAAGTGATTTCATTCATTATAATGTGGATAAAATAGGTAATTTATAACTATATATATATATGCAATAATATATTATTTTATATAATAATGTGTGGATAATATATATTTTTTATAAAAATCCTACGTCATTTTATTACTTTTTGATGTAGGACCGTGAAAAGCTACACCACTTTTTGTCTTTTGGCTATGCCATTTTTTTCCAAAGATTTGCTATATCGCCATGTCCATACTGTGTCATACCTGCGTCCAATGTCCATATTCGTACTTCCTAGATCCTTGTTAGTCTCAATTTCCTTCCTTATGGTTATCGAAGACATTAGAAATGGCCACTCAAAAACTTATTGGATATCAAGTGTCACGGCATCCCATTTTTTTTTTTTGATAAAATTACACTTCATATATCTTACTCCTGCTTAATCTAAAACATTACAACCGTCACATTCTAGAGTAAGTTTCTACAATTCTAACTTAGAATTAACCCCTGGTCAAGTTTAATCAACTAAAGAGATGATCATTATGCTGAGAAGCATGAATATTTTTCCAATAACATTACCGGCACTCCTAGATACTGGCAAATAAATATTATATTATGACCACATATCCGATGCATGTCAAATAGTCCAGATCATGTCTCTATTTTGAACATTAAGGTGTGATTTCCAATGTAATAAAACAATGCTGACAAATCGTTCCACTTGAGAAGAAAATGGAAAAACATATTTTGGCCACAAATATCACTGTTATTAAGATACCAACATCTCTTATAAAAAACACATGCGTGCACACATATAAGGAAAATAGGGAAGTTCTGATGTTTCACGGTCAATTAAATTTATGAAAATTGAAATTTCAAGGAATTGGACTACTGGAAACAACCACAAGAGAAGAAATAAAAGCTCCATTAGATTCAAAAAAGAGAAAACAGGTGGAAACTTGTTATTTCTTGCAGTGATTGTCATTGCCAATGTCACAATCCTGGTGATATTCAACAGTTCTGAGCTTGCATAATGATATTTCTTCCGTTTTTTTTTTTTTTTTTTTTTTTTTTTGTCTTTTGACATCCATTGAAATATTGCAATAATGCTTCTTCTGTCATTTCATACCCCACAGCAAACATCACTTGAGCTTCACAGCTTTCACGATTCAAACCCCACAATCAGAGTTGCTTACTAGTAGAAGATATTACAGGTAGCTCAACCAATCTTCAACTACATTTCTATTAACATGTTTGTCTTCTCAGATTCTAAACTCTGCTGCCGTTAAACATTTTATTTTTTTTACAAGTAAATATGTATTAGAAAGCATACAAAAGGGGAACGCATCCCAAAACTACACAAAGGTGAAAGCCAACGAATAAGGTCCTATGGACCCAAAGAACCCAAAAATTCAACAAACTCTTCTATAGATTTACAATTTCTCCGCATCACGCAACCAAAAAAAAAAAAAAAAAGAACTAATAATAAGAAATTTCAAAGTCCCAATGGAAGTTAACCACCAAGGAACCCTCACCACTCAAACTAAAACTATAACCTCTACCATGTTCCTCATGTCCACTATCCAAGCAACATTTTCAGAATCATTTCTGCTTTGGACATATGTCAACTCTTTTAAATTCATCCATCTTTTCTAATTTAGAGTAAATCATGTCTGGTCATACTACTAGTTCTTAGCCTACAATCATGTGCATCAGTGTCCGCGGTTCTGTAACCAAGCCCATATTGTCATCTTGTAGTACCAGTAGCCAAAAGACAACAAATGGCATAGCTTTTTCCATGTCCAATCATATATGACTTAGTCCATTTGAAAGATCTTGAAAATTGTTTCCTTGTTTAGTCCTTTAGTGGCTTTATTTCATAAACAAGACCCTAGTGATGCAGCAGCGGGTATGGGCGATTCGAGAACAAAATTCAAGTAAATAAGAAAGAGGTTAAGATAGAGATTGAGAGAGAAATAGAATAAGAATAATAGGGAAAGAAATTAGAATGAAAGAGAAGAGAAGAATCACTGAGGGAGAAATCAGAATTGAGGGAGAAGAAACACAATAATTTCTGAATAATAATCAATAGTCAATCATCAAAGCTAACTTTCAGTGTCTGAACCAACATATAAATAGACATCAAAGAAAAACCCTAATCAACCTATTACCATAAATAAAACCCTAAATTGCTGAAATATCCCATAATAATAATAAATAAACAAAAATCCCTAATTTTATCTTTCTTTCCCATGTCTCCAATAGTAGGTATGGGCCATGTGGTCTTCAAGCTCTCGGGCCAGGCCCGGTTCTCCAGCATTCCCTCCCGGTTGAGAAAAACTCTCCTCCGGAGAGTAAATGCAAATGTAAATCTTCAAAAAGTAAGAATCAACATAATAAAGTTGTTTCGCTACAATCCATGTAAAATCTAAAGCTCGAAGGTAATTGTGGACATTCCAAATACGATCAATCCAATCCATATACTGCAGCTGAGAAGACGTAAGTGCCAGTGTTGATGCTGAGAAAGACGGAATGCTGCCTGTAGGAACACATGCCAACAAAATTGGAGGCTCAAAGGTGCCTTGGTTAGGTAACAGATACTTCACATCAAAAATTAAACTAGTACTCATATCCAAAGACCAGTCAAAGAAATATGCATTAGGTCCTGATTTTTGAATGATGTGGCAAAGTCTATCGATTTTGGCATGTTTCATCTAGAAGGAGTTTTTATGATAAGGTTGAGGTAGTGCACAAATTATTGCATAATCTCCTTCATTTAATTCATGATTCCTATAATGAGCATATGCAATGAGTTCATAATTCTTTTTACTTAAGACAATTTCTTGTCGCATATCGGCATAAAAATCATGAACAAGTTGAACGAAGGAGTCAACAAACTCAAGTGAATACATACATGGAGGTGGAAGATAATAATCAATGGACTGGCATGGTAAAGAACCGCAAATAATCTCCAAAGAACAACTACCAGTACTTTGATTAGTCAAACTTGTATAAACATAATCCATGATAGGTAAAAGCAAGGTCCAAGTGTCTAGGTGCATGCTAATAATAAAACTTACCATCTTTCCTAGACCTTGATTTACAACCTCAATTTTTCTATCATTCAAAGGACAAGATGCAAAAGGAAACTTCAAATTTGTTCCTAAGAATGTCCAAAGTGTCTTCCAGAAATTACTATTGTACTTGACATCCTTGTTTGACACAATGGAGGTGGATGATTCATGAAATTTAATCATATCTTCAAGGCAATCTCGAGTGACCTCATTTTGTGCAAATTCATCATTTGGCTGACTCAGTTCAACATGTTCCCAAGGATGAGTGAGATTATGTGTGACAACTGAAAATGATCTTGGGGTTAAGGCAATTGTGTTTTGCACAACAGTCATGTGTGGCAATTCAGACACATCTTGACAAATAGAAGCGACTACTTCCACAAAATCAGTGGACAAAAGGCCCAAAGATTGTAGAGCCTTTGGAAGACGAGGCTCAAGAATTGTAGCGCAGTTTTTCAATACTTTTTCTCCTAAAGTACAAGATTGAGGCGAAATAGTCTGATTTCCTTTCCTAACAGTAGTTAGAAGAGGACGAAGTAGCTCTATGAAGATATAGTCGCATTCCTCCAGTAATAGAGTCATAATTTGCTCCATATATTTAAAGATATTGTCCGGATGATAATCTCTTATTTCTGTTAAAAAGTACTGAAGCATCTGGACAATCAACTCTTCACATTCCAAATCTAACATTATCAAACATGACTTGACACTTTCAAATGTGTTGAGGATTTTGACCCTTTTACCATACGATGGTCTAGATGTATCAGATAAATTTTCAAAAGATGATACAATCACCTGAAATACTTCTACCATTTGATCATCATTATAGGGAAAAGCCGGTCCTGTAATCCTTGTTAACTCACTAAGGCATGAGGCTACTGCAACTCTAACATCACAATCTGAATGCTTTAAAAATTCTTTAGCAATTAAAGCCTTCATTATTGGAGAGAGTGCAGTCTGCATTGAAGCACATGGGTCCTGATGTACTTTGCAAAGCAAGTGATCAGTTTTGTTAAGCAACCAAATGAGCTCACTGATTGAGGATGGAGGTTGAAAAAGCCCATTTTCAATTTTCAGAAGTTGTTGTTCCAAATTTATTTTCAATGTTGTTTTTGTTTCCCTTTCATTTTCACACCAATTAGCTCGACTTTCATGTGATAGGCTGCTAGGTCTGTGCTCAACAATTTTGGTCTTGCCTGGCTTAGAAGACAGCCATTGGGGACATAAAATGATGTTCTCTTCTGACATCATTATGAAGACGTCTCGGCTAGGTTAGTGGACAAAGTTTAAGGAAGGCCGACATAGGACTCAAATTGAAATAAGTAAAATCAAATTATACCTATTGCACTGCACAACAAAGAAATCTGAATGCAATGAAATTAATTATGCTAAAATCCATGCACTAGTGTAAGTATTTAGGTGTAAAAATAAGGTGGAAAAAATGAAAAAGATTTTTTTTATTTTATTATTTTTTTAAAACCTTTGGCAAGAAAGGAACTCAAAGGAAAATAATACTAAAAGAAATAAATAATTTGGTTCAAGAATCAAATGGATTCAATTAGGACCTTTTGCAATTTCTAAACTAATCAAATAGATAAAATACTAATTGCAATTTTTAATGGAAGAATATGTACCTTTTCCGAAGTCCTATGTAGCTTCCAAGTATTGAAGGTTGTTACCCAAAAGTTGCTGTAAAATGAAGTAAAGAGAGGCCAAAACCGGTCTTTTAATAAATCTGCTCCTCTCTCCTAAACGACAATAGACCCACAGTTTGCGATCAACAGTCCCCTCCAAGCAATGACCAGAGACAGCGAAAACGATAAACTGAAAATGGTGATGAACCGAAGTTCTGGTGACGACTACAACTTGAGAAGATTCCGACGATGGCAGATTCCGGTGAGATGTTGGGAGATCCACGACTGGTGGCTAGGGCTTGGCTCTGCGATAAGGCTGTTGGATTTGGGTTGGAGTTTAGGGTCTTACAACCGTTTGTTGGATATGAAGAGACGGTTTTAAGGTTTTGCTTAGTTGTAGATGTTGGCAGTGACGGCTAGGATTTGAAAGTGCAAGAAAGGTTGTAAACGATGATGGGCTCGGTGGGTTTGGGTTCGACAGTGGGGTTTAGAGTTCCAAGGAGTGAAAGATTTAAGTTAATGTTTTGTGATTAGTGGCTGTGGCGGCAGCGGCTTGGGGAAACGTTAATGAACAGTGATAGAAGGCAAGATTGCTGTGAACAGCAGTTTTTGTGTAACAATGAACAATTGCTCTAAATCTTTTGCTCTGATACCAATTGATGCAGCAACGGGCGATTCGAGAACAGAATTCAAGTAAATAAGAAAGAGGTTAAGATAGAGATTGAAAGAGAAATAGAATAAGAATAATAGGGGAAGAAATCTGAATGAGGGAGAAGAGAGGAATCACAGAGGGAGAAATCAGGATTGAGGGAGAAGAAACACAATAATTTCTAAATAATAATCAATAGTCAATCATCAAAGCTAACTTTCACAATGTCTGAACCAACACATAAATAGACATCAAAGAAAAACCCTAATCAACCTATTACCATAAATAAAATCCTAAATTGCCGAAATATCCTATAATAATAATAAATAAACAAAAATCCCTAATTCTTTCTTTCTTTCCCACGTCTCTAACAGTAGGTGTGGGCCATGTGGTCTTCAAGCTCTCGGGCCAGGCCCAGATCTCCATTACTAGAATTAGCCATTCTCAAGATTTCACCACTATGGCATGCACTCAATTAAAAGAAGAACAATGCTTGCCTTAGGCCGCATAAGAAGGAACCTCCTCCTTATGATGAGGTGGCCCAATAAAATATCAACAGGTGTTAAAGCTTTAAAAGAAAAGAAAATGATGACTACAGGGAATAGAAACTGATCCTTCCCTCTTTCTCTCTCACACAGCGATATATATTACTTCTGTTTTGAATCTAAAATCAAACAATGTTTTTCGCTTTAATGAATCGGACCATGTGAGTTGTGAGTTGAATTGATCAATGGCGACGTCTTCATCTCAGGACAAGTAGTTCACCATTCCACCATTGATAGCCTTCGAGTCCGTACTCCTCCACATCAATGTTGTCCTTTATGGACAGTGGTGGTGGTGGGCTAATATATCGCTCGTGTTCATCTTCGGTGGTGTCGTTTTACGGCTCCGGCAATGGGTTCAACTCCAGATCCATGACGTCGAGTTGGGATTTGGAACGATTCCATAGAGCTCGTACGCTGGTGGCTTTCTCGTCGTAAGAGGAGCCGATTGAATAACCTATGGATACTTGAAGTTTTTATTGCATGTAGTCATCATTTTCTTTTCTTTTAAAACTTGAACACCTATCGACGTTTTATTGGGCCACCACATCATAAGAAGGAAGTTCCTTCTTTTGCGGCCTAAGGCAAGCATTGTTCTTAAAAGAAACATTAGTTGCCTTCTTGCATCAATTGCATGCCTGTATCCGTATCAAGAGTAATTGGTTTCTTCTCACTTCAAAATTTCTCTGAGCCCTAAAACCATCAACAAAATGGTATTACTAAATAAAACAATCTTATCACATAAATTAGTTGTTGATTCCTCTCCACCTACATTCTCACATTTTGAAGGTAGGTTCTTATTACAGTCAAGCACCAATTTTTTGCATATTCAATTTTTTCTCCACATTTCTGCCAACTAGCAATTTAGACAAAGCTCTTATTCCCCGTATCCTATTTCATGAATACTTGCATTATAGTTCTTCCTACATAGAGAATACAATCTACCTGCATGTTCCAGTTTTTCTGTCCTTTGAAATACAATCATATTTCAAAAGGATATCAATGCAATGATCCAATCATAAAGTGCCTTTTTTTTTGTTTCTTGTAATACTACCCATTTTGAGAGCTATTGATACATTTTATTCCAGTATTCCCATCCCTTCTCAGCCACCTGATCATCGACTACCACATCTTCATTTTCTTTCCAAACTCTCTGTTCATCATATTGTTAAGGTTTCCTTTACCATTCGAATTTCACCACACCTTCAGCTTGTTAGATTTTGCTCCATCAGCTCATCTTATTCAAGATTCTAAACGTACTGCCATGCACGGACCCAATTTATAGTCAGTGGGGGAAATTGCCTCCTTTTTTTTAATTATATACCTATGAAATTTTAATGTTGCCCACCCTGAAATTACAAAAAAAGAAAAAAAGAAAAAAAAAATCACAATTTCCTGGGTCCGTCCCTACATACTGCAATTATTGGAGTGTCTTAAATAAGCCAACGTCATGGTTGATCACTCTGAAGATTATAAACAGCTTCATAAAATGCTCACTTTATCCCTCATATTTAAGGACCTCTTCAAGACCAAAGATAATTCTCCTATGAGGTACTTGTAGCTCTTAACGTACAATCAAATACACAGTTCTGTTGAGCCCCACAAAGCTCGACTGACAACTGTAGCCATGTTTTTGCACAGGCGTCTGGGGAAACCAACACTCTGTACCCTATATGATTGTCGTTTGTCTAATATATCCGACTTCTACCAATATCAAACATAATATCAAGCATCAGCTCAATGTGATGCATCTCTTCCTATATGGTGATCTCATTAGTAAAGATTATATCAAGTTGCCTCTTGGTTTTCTCAACCTTTCGGAAAATCTGTCATATTGATTGTGTTATAAAAAGGTCTCAAATATCAATTAGCCCCTCTTGCCTGGTTTGAGAAACACAATTAAGAAATTACTTTTTACTGTAGTGTGCACATGACTAAGCTATATACATTTTTTTTTTTTCTTAGTTGATACTCCCACAGACATGCCTCCACTGAGGCTTGAACCCCTGACCTTCCTTTGGAAAGTAAGGGCCTGATACCGCTAGGCCACTGGCCCGTTGGTAACCTATATACATTCACACTCACTGAATCATCACTTTTTTTTTTTTTGACATGCAAGCATGGATGACTGAAATGGTGCTTAAACTCCTTTGGAGACTTGAAACCATGGACGCTATCCTACTACCCTATAAGACAAGCAACTTCAAGATTCAACCTGTAGCTCGTGGTTACCCCTTCTTCCTTCTGGATAGCTAGCATTGCTAATTTACCATTATTCATACTGTTCATAATATCATTACTACATATAATCCCTTTACATAGTCGAGGATTTTAATTATCATTTACATCAAATATCTTGGACTTTTATATATTTTTATGTCCATAGCCTGCCTACATTCACGGATGGAAAAGCTAAACTATGATTATTACTGCCTATGGATTTATAAAATTCTATGATGGAAATACAATACAGTACAATTACTAACCAGTTGTGCCTTAATTTCCTCCTGTAACTTTTCCATGTCAGATTTCAGCTGGTTGACAGCACTTCCCTGTAGACAAAAGAAATAAATCAACTGAACTGCTCATACCATTAAAAAGAAGGGATGGTGAAGATCAAAAATTTTGGGGTCCTTCCAGCAATGGGAAAAAAAGAAAAACCCACCAATGGACTGTTTAAAAATTTAAGAAAATCGGCTGAAATGAATATACATAACAGAAACAAATATAGAATTTGCCCTGCTGGGACCAAGTAGCAGACAACATAATCAGCCATAATAGTAATGGGAATGCAACTGTAGTCTGGACCCCATGCTACTTAATAAAACCAATAGAAGACACATTGCCAAATTTTCCCAGTTTAAAATTTGGTAGACCAATTTTTTTATATATATTTTTTATTTCCCAAGATGCCTCCAACAGACGCGGTATAAATTGAAGCATGCAACACAAAAAGGCTACTTTAAGCTTCCTTGTGACGGATCCTCTTTCTAATCAGTTGTTTCTTAAGGGTCCTTTTTCAAGTCATGTGTTATTCAGGAACAACGAAAAGGCACACCAAAACTTCTATTCTTTCAGAAAAAGAAATTTACAGGTTAAAATAAACCTTATATCTAAAAACATCATTGCATAAAATTTGCAATTGGTGAAATCGCATGAAATTATACACACGTACACAACTGAGATATTTTTTTTTATTTTTTGTTTTTTTTGTTTTGCATTTAAAGGCCTTATATGTCAATAAGAAATAGTTTAATTCTAAATTCAATTTTACAAAAAATAAATACCAATAAAATACATTATATGTAATAAAATAAAAAAACATAAAACCTATCAACTAGGAAGAAATATATATATATATATATATAAAAACCATAAAACCAATAATGGGTCAATTTGACCACTTCTACCTGAAACAAGAAACCGTGTTCAATCTAAAAGCGAGAAACAATCAAATATATAACAGTTGTGAATCCTGAGCTCATTGAGTTAGTTCAAATGGTTTTAATCAAGATGAGCATGAGAAAGATCTATTAGCACCATAAGTTCAGAATATATTAATCCTTATTTTGAATTTGTTAGACGTTAAAACCAAGTATCTTTAATTTATTTTGTTCATTTTTGCATGACAACAATTTTAAATAAACAAGTATAAATTTACAACACTGATAAACAAACAAGTATAAATATATGGTCAATACGATCCATGATATGGGTGCCATTTACATTATTACTGCATCAATCAGTATGTCAGTCAATTTAGATAGCACATTAATTTTCATGGTATCTAAATGGCAGAGTATACGACAAAATTTACTCATTTATGTATATATATGAATGAATCTGTATATGTAAGTATATATGTATCATGTATGTGACTAAAGTACTAAACAAAAGCACAAACACAGGCAACCATCTGAAAAACAATCTTGGAAAATGAAGATCTGAACAAGCCAAAAGAACCATAGATGCAAACAAACCTGTTGATTATAACTATCTGTCAGAGCTGAATTTTCAGAAGCTAAAGATTCTGCCAAAGCTCGTGAAGCCTCAAGAGCTCGCTGCAAAGAGAACTTTTCTTGTGTCAAATCTTCAATATGCTGCACAAGAAAGAAATTAGATGTAAGAAAATGTGAGGTCTGAAAAAAATACATCCAATGTTCCAAACTCAGAAAGAGAGACTACTGTAGTGATAAATGCAAGACTTAAACTTACCCAGAATATAGCATAAAAACCATAGAAGAAAATTAATTCTTTACTTATTTTACATCAGACCACATAGTACAGCTCAAGGCACTAAGAAGGGCCTTAAATTTTCATTTATTTTTCCATTTCCAATACATCCACACTTGTTAAAGTTCCAAAAACAAAAACACTACTTGATTAAGTAGTCAAGTGATTGCCAAATCAGGGCTAGTTTGGCAACTGTTTCACATCTTATGAAATATTTTTATTGGATGATTATGGTCAATTATTTTTCTCTCCATGTCTAAAATATCTAGTAATTTTCTTACTCATGTCACTTGACTTTTTAACGTAGCGGAACAATAAAGAACAGAGTTAACCCTTGAATTCACAAGGAACACACTAACAAGAGAAAAAACTTGAAATTGTATTGATAATTGTCTGCCTACAAACTACATCTCTTGCCTTTATATAGGCAAGTCAAAAACCACACCACTCATTAAAATAAAGGACACTTGTTACACTGATTAAAGCACTCCGTAAAATACTACGTACGTGTTGAGATTTCGGTGGAGCAGAATCCTCCATAAATTTTGCAATGGAGAATAATTCTTCAATCAAGCTGTCTATTGTTGGCAACTACACCAATCATGCTGCCACCTATTGTCAACTCCACCACCAATCTTCTTGCTTATTTTCAATTTTTCTATTTTCTATTGTTGACTTTTCCTTATTTATTTTTTCTGTACTTGTATATCTCTCCTTACCTTTTCAGCCTCCCTGACTTGTGGTGCTCATATACTCGTGAGCCAGTTGTTCTACATCGCTTTTTTATTTTATTTTATGTTATTATTCATTACTTTTAGTCATATAAAAATATATTTATTTACAACGATTTGAACTACATGCAATGCATGTACATTTTGCTAGTCTAATTATACATGAATTGACAAGAATACATATATGAGAAAAGTATAATAAAAATTGCAGCAACAACAATATATAACCTGTTCCAAAGCAGCAAAGTCTTCATCCTGTTTTTGCGAAAAAAAATCTTGTTTCCTCTCTGTTCTGTTCTCATTGGCACTATACCTGTACATGTCATCCCCATTACTGGCTGAAAATGAAGTCTTCATGGAATGGTTCAAAGTTGGAAAAGGTTCCATTCTTTCAGTTTCAGTAAGTGACTTCTCCGACACAGATGATGCAAGACTGATGTCCATGTCGTGAAATTTTGAACTAAATGACTCAGCATTCTCTTGTTCAGTAGGTTGAAAAGATGCAGAAAAAAGTCTTGGCATATTAATAGAATCAAGGAAAGATGGACGAGATCTCCTCGTGTTGGTTTCAGCTACATCTGGATATACTGGTACATAATTAGATGAACTTCTGACATCAAAACTGAAACCAGGAGATCGAGATTGAGATGGCCACAGAGGTTCTCTGTCCGCACCTTGCATGTTTTGTCCTACTTCATGAGAGGACTCTGTGATATTGGTAGAGGATGAAAGGAGTCCATCATTACAAACATACTGTCATCAGATTTTCTTCCAAAGAATTAAAAAGGAAAGTGGAAAAAAAAGGAGTGAATACAATAAGTATTACCCCCTGCAGGGCCCACCGGGTAAAAAAAAAAAAAAAAACAATAGCAACTTTACCTTCATAAGAAGAGGACATCCATGGGCTAGGCAGCGGGCTGGTATAAGCAGACTTGTTTTGCAATAAATTGCTGTCAGAATTCTCAGGAGAAATATTTGCAGCAAGAACATGAGATATACTAGGATTTGTAACTGAAAAATTCTTTAAGTGACTATCATTATCTTTTGACTGTGCTTCCTCCAACGCATAACGACTAGATTGACTGGAATTGCTATCAATATCTCGAACTGCTTGAGGGTGAAGAGAAATATATTGATCAGTTGAAACGGAAAGTCCTCCTGAAGCTCTACTATAATTGCCAAAGTCATCACTCTTCTCTTTTATCTGAGGGCTATAATTAACATTTACTGGTTCAGCTGGCTTTGACCCATTATATCGGTTAGAGTCTTGATCATTTCCATGTTTCTGCACCGATTGAGCTAAAAATGAATTACGATAATTCGCTGATAAAGGGGGATTAGCATGTTTTCCATACAAAGAACCTATCTCATTGTTCTGGACAAGATCAATTGCTTTGTCGTCATTGTTCATAGCAACACCAGACAGTCCAACAACAGCTCCACCACTTTGATCAGATGTACCAGCTCCTTCTGAATCTGTAAGCCTTACATTTTCAGTTTCTAAAGGTTGCTTCTCATGTAGATCAGCATCTGCAGTATGAAGCTGACTTGTGGATGCAGCCTTTTTGGCTCGTTCTGCTGCTTTCTTCTTCTTACGGAATTCCTCCAGCTGCAAGAAAGAAAGAAAGAAAGAAAGAAAGGGAAAAAAAAAAGACCACATTAATTTGATAATTTGCCTTTGGACAGGTTGAGATAGCAGTTTACACTAATACAAAATTGAACCAAAAATACAGTAAAGATGGGTACTGTAAATTTTTGTCCCATATGTTAGAAGTACATTGGGTGAATTCAAATCCATACATCAAGAAGTATAATAAAGAAATCAGTAATTCTAGATTTTTTTTTTTTTTTAATAGGAAACAAAAATCTTAAAAAATTGACTAATCATTTATAAAGGTGGCCAGTTGGGACAAACTTCTAACAACAGCAGTAAAACAAAGAGTAAAATCGAATCACACCCCTAAACAAAAGAATAACCCAAAGTTCAGTGACGCATGGCTATATTTGATAACGAAAATTTAACCTTTGTCATAACAAAGCCACAACTACTATTTACCATAGTATTATTCCTCGAAAATTCCATTGTTCCTCTCAATCCTACGAGAAAAATGAAAGACACTAAAAGAACACAAACATATGATATAAACATAGCAATATAAGGTGGATACGACCATTGCTTGGTACATTGGTAAAATGCTGCAGCTCTCAAGCGTCAGGTTCAGCCACTTTGTGCGAGTAATACAAAAGGTTATATCTATATCTAGTCCACCCCTCACAGCACCCTCTCTTAACAGGGACTACACTATGTAACAACCATTTATATTATATTTACTAAACACATATAAAAAAATAATTGTGTGCATATATACATATATACATCAATTCATTAATTTAAAATAATAATGATTCATCATGTTATATACATATATATAACTAATATTCACTTATAAAGAGCTATTCTGTATTTCTAACTTGTAATATCAAAAAATAATAATAATGATAACGAAGCTAAGTTATGCTGCATTGACATGGACTTCGGATTAAGTACAAATAATATATACTTCATCAACCTACTCAGAGCATCAACCATAAAAAAAAAGGGATATCCAATCTCTCAAGTAGACCCCCAAAGGCATGAAACCATTACACATAATATATAGTTCATCAACCTATTCAGAGCATCAATCAAAAAAATGAAAAGGGATATCCAAACTCTCAAGTAGACCCCCAAAGGCATGAAACCATCTTAGTCTCAACTCTCAACATCAATAATCACTGCAAAAATTAATAGAAACTGAAAAAACCCCAGCATCCAAAAGTATTATTCACATATCATGTTGGGGAATAAAACAAAACAGTCAAGCAAGAGAAGAACAATCACACAAGATAACACACAATTTACGTGGTTCGGAAAAATCTTTTGCCTACATCCACGGAGCGCACCGGAAAATGCCACTATAATCAATAATGATGGGTGTTTACAACAAAGAGCCCTCTGTGCTCTCTCACTCTCTCTCTAGCTATTCTGCTATCACACACATACTAGGGTTAATACAAGACTCAATATTTATAGGAAACAACATTTCCTCAAATCTACAGAATTCCAAGGAAAGAAGACCTCAATTAGGAAACAAATTCGGAGTTTCTTATTTACAACGATCGAGGTGTTCGTGACCTGTGATTGATCGATATTATCCTAGGCTACAATTGACGCTTACACTAGCCTCTGTGATCGATATATACTCTGTTGTGATAGATCGATGAACTCCAGGTTTTGATCGTGACCAACACTGCTCACTGTGATCGAAGTCCCCGACCGGAGTTCGAGAAGGGTCAACATAAACCAAGCTCGTGATTCAGGCTCCACAACCTCAATATATCACATGATCCTCATCCACATGGACATAAGCTTTAACAAAATCCTCTACATCTTTGAAAAGCTTTTTTCCAAAATCAAATGAAATCCCCTCTTTAATAAGCATTCCTAAACGCCTTTACGAAGTCATCAGCCACCAAAACTGCATCAAGAATTTGCCAACCCCTGAAAAATCACTTGATAAAAAGAAATATTATATAGCAACGCCTTCCTCATTTAACAAAAGAACACTACGGATAATATCATGCCAAAGCTATTTTAACACATTGGTAAATGAATTTAGAGTCACATATATAGTCAGGGACTCATTTCTTCTCACCATCATCAAATAAATGAATCTCAAGCCTCAAATGGAAGTGGAGAAGGAATCCTTCATAGGAAGCAAACAATAGAAGTTCTATCAAAACTCTATTCTCTTAACAATTCCCAAAAGTATTCAAGTTACCATCTTCCAAAGTGTACATCTGTTCGCAAATATAGTCTCTGTAAACCCATCTAGACTCTTAGCTTTATCCATGTCCGTCTTTTTTTTTTCCTAGTTGGGTACTCACACACACATGCCTCCACTGAGGCTCGAACCCCTGACCTCTCTTTGAGAAGTAGGGGCTTGGTACCGCTAGGCCACTGGCCTGTTGGTATCCATGTCCATCTTCAAAATCACCTATTTAACTTCATCCGTTTCATAGGATCTTTAAGGCATAACTCAGCTGGCAAATTGGAAGGCTCGCAATAAGACATAATAAGAAAGAAAATTGTAAGGATCTCTCTGAAATGAGGCTTTAATCCTTCCTGTCATACAATATATCTGAATTAAAAAAAAAAAAAAAAATTGACAAAAGTTTCCTGGCTATAACTTTTGCATGAAGATATGGAAGAAGAAATCTTTTGCAACCTTTCCCAGTCATGGGTCCAGTGATATAACATATTTCGATCAGACCATAAAAGTTTTCCTATGGGTTCATGGATTGATTGTTCAATATGATAAACAAATTCTAGAAATTGGTGTTGCATTGCCCTTTGGCTCACGACTATTGGAGTCTTATTTTTGGCTTGTTTGGGGTTAAGTGGGTCATGCCTCGGTCTTCGAGGGGATTGATTGATGCTTGGAGAGGATGTTTCATGGGAGCCCCATGCCCGTGATTTTTGGAGGGTGGCACCTTTTTGCGCTTGGTGGTGCATTTGGAAGGAGCAGAATAGTAGACCTTTTGATGGGGAGGAATCTTCTGTAGGGGCTTTGAAATTTCTTATTTTTATCTCTTTTTGCAGTTGGATGATGGGGAGAAATTGCAAATCATTAGAGGAGTATGTTGATTTTTTGGGTTCCTTGGGTCAATAGGATCTTTTCTTTTCGCTTACGCCTTTGTGTATTCTATGGGATGCGTTCCCCTTTTGAAGGCTTTTTATTAATACATCTTTACTTATCAAGAAAAAAAACAAAAAACAAAACAAATTGTGGCAAAAGTTTTCCCATGAGTTCCAATCACATCAATAACAGATTAAGAAAGACTTCATATGTTCAATGAATTAAGTATTTTCTTTTAGTTTTGTCATTAATGTTAATTTACATTCCACCTCTTTGGTGATGAAAACTGCACCAAAATATGCAAATAGTTAAGGACATTGTCAATTGTCACTCCAAAAATCACCAGCAAAAGATTACTCTAGATATTGTAAATCATAGTCTTTCCCTTTAAAATAAAAAATCTATAGCACTTGAAGGAATTCAATAAAATATGGTCATTTGCAAGATAATAATCTAATAACAAATTGCAAGATATGATCATTTTAGGGCCCTACTTCATGATTTGCATCCCACAAACTGAAACACGCAGTTCTAGTAATCTAGTTTATTAGCCACCAGGTACAAGAAGCAGGACTTGGGACAACAAGACTTGGCACGAATCTTCGCTGCAATTCTTAAGATTTTTTGCTCAGTTTAAAGATCTTCAGTTCAGTGTTCTAAAAGGCCACACAAATTCTAACAATATAACATTGTGTTTGCAAAATGGACTCAGTTGTCAGTAGAGAAGTAACCAAATGGAAGTCATAATGCTGCCAACAGACTATAGACACCCAACTAACCAAATTCAATACATAATACATACATACATATATACATATATATATATATATATATATATATCACCTTTTCATTTTTGTCAAAAATAATCTAAGAACTGAGACAGCAACTAAATTGAAGTGATCTAAACAACAACCCTTTCAAAATTTTCAAGTCCCGGGAAAATCAACAAACAGCGTTTGAACTTAGTAGATGAAAGCAATCAAAATTAGAGAGTGGAACACACCCGTCGTTTTCCAGCCTCCAAAAGCTCCTGCTTCTGCGACCCCATCGAATTCGGCAACACCTGAGCCGACGCCATTCAACTCTCACCACCGATTCATTCACAATTTTCCATAAATTCTACAAACATTCAAGAATTCCCATCCAAAACCTAGATACAAACCCTATATGGCACAACAGAATACAGATCAAGTTATATATGTACATATATACAAAGCTTGACAATTGATTGTGTGAGCATAGATCAATCAACGGTCGTCTGCAACGGCCAAAAACTTTGAAATTTTGGAACGGATTTTGAAGGAAAAACCCTAAATTGCAGACAAAAGGGTCCGATCTGAACGGAGAGGAGAGCTCGGTGATGTTTGTTTGTTCGTTCAAGCAGAGATCTCCTGTCTCCTCTCTCCTCTCTCTCTCTCTCTCTCTCTCTAACCCACTCGTAATTTCCGTTATTATTACGCCGGTGCTGTTTCGATGGTTGTTAACATTACCTGCTGTTACGAAATGGCGACCCATTGGGCCCCATAGAGTGAACAAGTGTGGCGTTCTGAAATTTGAATGTCGGGTGATCTTTCGGTTCGGATCCACCGAACATCGGGTGGATTTGTTTAATTTATTTTTTATAATACAAGTGCTAATCATTAAAAAATAATAATAATAATAATAATAAAATAGTGTTGATAAAAAAATTAAAAAAAAAAATCTGATCCTCGTTTAATTAATTATATTACCCAATTAAATTGATGTAAAAATATTGTATTTCAACATTGCACATGTTGGCATGTTGTAATCATTTTATGTATAGGTATTTTATTATGAAATTCAAAATTAGCTTTTCAATGGTGAAATGCCCAAGCAATTAGGCTATTAGCTCGGACCAAGAGGATGGTAGGATATGGAATCCCGAACGTGGACATGTTGGGCATGCTTTCATCATTTCATGTATTGGTACTTTACTAAAAGTTGGAAAAAATTCAAATTTTGTTATGTCTTGGCTTGTAAATCTACTATTTGTAGCATGGGGCTTGATTTTATTATTATTTTTTTCTCTATTTCCAGGACTTTAAGAGATTTTAAAAAAATGAGAGGGGGAAGCTAAACCGTTTTAATTGGACCAAGACTGGAGTTAAATGAAAATTCGGTGGTATGAGTTAAATCAAACCAAGTCAAGTCAAATGTGCAAGGCTGCAGACTTTTACTATTATAATTTTTTGATCTTACCGCATACAACACATGGTTTTTCGTTTCGTCATTCACCCGCATAAACACAATCAACCACAGCTACATAAATCCAACATATCATAATAAAAACAAGTGCTACAACCACAGTTACACAAATTTAATATCAAAAGTGTTCAAGTCAACTCCTCTCAATACTCATGATTAACGGAGATCAATTTTTCAAATGCTACCTTCTTGAGTTTGCGATGAGCTTCTCCCTCAAGCGTTTGAGATGGGCCAGCAATTTTTCACGATCAGGGAGATTTTCTTTGATGACAGTAACTTGTTTAAAATTTTGAACCCATGCACACAAGCGAGGCAAAGTGCTTGGTTCTAGCAGTTTTACACCAACCACTTCTTCCATGCATTCGAACCCATAAGCAAACCATCCAAATGAGATGTCTACTAATCCAATGGCATCGCCACCAAAGAACTGCTTGTCTCCAAGGGCTTTCTCTTCTATGATTTTCAGCACTGCCAATGATTCTTTGATTGCTTCCTCTTGTTCCTGTCCAGTCCCATAAAGGCCAAAAAATGTGCGACCCTGTGTATATGATCCACAAATATATTGTCATCACAAAAATAAAAATAAATAAAAAACATACACACTATATAGATCATGATATTTCACTATGAAAAAAAAACAAAAAAAAAAAAAAAACCAAATTATAACTTAAACCCCCAATCTTTTGTCTCTATCTTACTCTCTATTATTCTCTCGTACACACATTATCTTAACATTTATGAAGTACGGACACTAGCCGTACTCGTGTCATGTCTATGTCGGACACCGATACTCGTCAAACACTCCTGGAACGCGTCTCTGACACTTCATATACGTGTCCGTAAATAAAAATAAACTTTTATTATTTTAGACACTTTTGACACACTTCGCCTAGATAATTAGGCCTACACTTCTAAACATTTACTCTCTAATCTTAAAAATAATATGAACACATTTTAAAGCGGCCAACTTTTTTCTTTAATAAAAATTGACATTGTACACATATGATCACAAGCAAAAAATTAAATAAAATTTGTTTATTTAAAATAAATATGACAAAGTAGTGCAATAACAATATATTCGATATAAAAGTTATTACAACTCTTAATATAAAATTAGAAATGAATTAAAGTTTTATAATATTATTACTCAATATATATATAAATAAAAATTCAAACTTATATATAGTCGTGTCCAAGCCGTACTCGTATCCTACTTTTAAAAAAAATTGGCATGTCATATCGTATCCGTGTCTCATATCCGTATCACTGCTTCATAGCTTAGTAACCTGTAAAATTAGTACCGAGATTCACAACTCGTAAAACGAAATGGGTCAAAAAAATATATATATCCAGCTCAAAACTCATTTGCCCACACAAAATTCATTTCCCGACTAAAGTTGCAACACTGAGGTGGCAATTTGTGTTTGTGGGTCGTGTTCATGTCGTGTTGATGTAAGGGTATTATACTAAATAAGTAAACCCAAGCTCAACCCATTTAATAATTGTATCAAGAATTCTCAACACTAACCCAATCCGTTTATTAAACAGGTAAATGTGTTAACCCATTTAATGACCTGTTTATCAAAATGAGACATTTAATATTTAATCAAATACTAAATAATATAAAAAAAAATTGTCATAATTAACCCAAATATTCAAAATAAAAAGAAAAATCATAAAGTATATATAAGGTTTATGTTGAAATGACTTAACTATTCATAGTGGTGAGTTTACATAGGTAACATATTAAATAGGTCATATTCACGATTATAACATATTGAGTTAAATGGTTCATAAACGGGTTACACGGGTTGAACCTCTCAATCCTAACCCGACACGGTTAAGTAAACGGGTTAATCGTGTCTACCCTTTTATGACCCAAACCCGTTTATATCAAACCCAAACTCTTTTAACTCGTGTCGTGTTGTCGTGTCGTAATTTATCATCCCTACGCAACACCATCACAACAAAACTCGGGCTACAGGCCCACAACTTCATACACACACACACACATATATGTGTGTATCTATGAAGCACGGACAGGGGTCCCGTACTAGTATCGGACACTTTTCGGACACCGACACCCATGTCCGACACTTCTGTGAAGTGTCCAAATATTATTTTTTATTGGACACGCGTGTCCGAGACTCGGACACACGGTCCGACACTTCTGTGAGACAAAATTTATTTTCTCTCACTCCTCTCTCAGTCTCTCATCTTCTTCAATTATCTCTCTACATGAACAAGATATATATATATATATTTAAGTTACGCGAACAAGATTTTGTGAAAAACTGAAAGTATATATGTTTATTCATATACATATTTAGTTCATTATAGTTATGTCTCTTCTGCACATCTTCGTTTGGAATTTAGATCAACTTTATTTTTCATTTATTTTCTGTTTTGTTTTGTCTATATTTTTCTTATAACAGAGATGAAATTATTGAAATTGATTCTGTTCTTTATTATTGTTTTATTTACCTGTACAAGATTCTAGTAATTATATTTTAAATATATATATGTATATAATTTTATAGGCGTATCCCCGCCGTGTCCGTATCCTATTTTTTTGAAATTTGCCGTGTCGCCATATCCGTGTCTTGTCGTATCCGTGTCCGTGCTTCATAGGTGTGTATGTAATTCTTCCTAACAATAGTACACAGTAGAAAATACAATAATATGAAAGATGATGATGCAACTTGTCATATATTGTGAGATGGATTTTTATGTGCAAGAAGTAACACTAATGTTTAAGGTCAAACAAGTGGTTTATGGAACTATCGAACTATATATATATATATATATATATATATATATATAGATATAAGGTTCTACTAATTAATCAATGATTTGTAACATATAATTTACCTTATCTTCCCCAAATTGAATCCAAAACCGAGCCATGGCCCTCTCATAAGCATCTTCCGGCAGCAACGGAGTCTCCGGCCACGTCTCTTCGATGTACTCAAGAATAACGCGGGACTCCGCTACTGGTTTGCCACCATGAACAAGCACAGGGATCTTCTTGTGAATTGGGTTGTACTGTAAAAGCAGTTGACTCTTGTTGGAGAGGTCTTCTTCTAGGTACTCATACTTCACACCCTTTAGTTTCAGAGCCCATATCACTTTGTGGCTAAAAGGGCTAGCCCAAAATCCATGTAGCTTTACTTCTTCCATTGTTTGGTGGTTTGTCTATCACCAGTACAAGTCAATTTATAATGGCAAATGCTTCCTTCTTAATTGCTTGGGTACTACTTTTCAAATTTGGAAATGTCGTAGGAAGAAACCTTAGACTTAGAGTCAAGGTTTTTAGTTCATTTTTATCCCTCTTTTTGTCTCTAGCAAAATCAATTAATTATGTGATCTAGATCTTTTACAGAGTCAAAAATAAAAATATATATATTAAAAAACAAACGATTTTTTTGTTTAAGTAAGTAGGATAATTAGGATTTGGATTCTCTCCACTAATTTTTTTTTTCTCTCCAATCTATCAGAGACTCCATTCAATGATCAAAATCATGCCACATTAGCAGTATATATTTTGTGTAAGATTGGTATCACACCCAATTTAATCCAAAGAGAGATGATAACGTGGTGTTTTTGCAACTGTTAGATATAAATATATATGAACAAATGTAAAAAAAATAAAATAAAATTTAGGGCATAATATAGGATATAGAAATTACTGAAGTATACCCCATATATAGGGCTTTCCAACACACCTAAAGTATATTGGTAAGAAGAATAAATGGAAAAACAAGGGATTAGTTTAGGAAATTCGTTAACATACAATTTATGGTTAACAATATTTTATTTTAAGAATATTGAAAAAAGGCATAAATTGTCAGAAAGGGGACTGATTTTAGAAGCATTAATCCAATAAGTTGTATTTTGGGGCAGGGGGTTACAAGTCTTTATTTTAAATAATAATAATAATAATAATAATAATAAGAGGGTTATAAAGTGCAAATAAAACAAATTAGAAGGCCCTTTGCTCTAAACTTCTATTTATTTGTGATATTTTTGTTGACAAAACTACCTTTGATAGCCAATCAACTTTAAAGTATTTGTGGAAATTGAATAATGGTGGAATTGCACACTGTCATATTGACTAGTATGGTGTAAAATATGGAGTGTATAAATATTGACTAGTGTTCAATGTTCACATTATTATGATACTCCGTGTATGTTCATGCATGATTGCAAGTTAGCTAAAAATAAAGTAAATAAAGTAATTGCAAGGCGCACACCTCTTTTGACTTTCTGGGCGTATCTCATTTGAATATTCACACAACCTCAATCCTCCCCAAAAACACATTGTAAGGTGTAGGGGAAGCGCAGACAACACTGTTAAAGAGCATGTGGTGGAACGTCTGCGTTAAAAATAAGGGAAAATTACATATAAATGGAGTTAAAATTCTATATTTACTTAGAGACTGAGTCAAAGTTTCATATTTCTCTAAAATGGATTGCTGAGGTGATACATGATTTTTTACTGTTTAGAAAATTGTGGTGCCTAAAATGCCCTTCCCTAACAAAAAAGTAGTACCTTCAGTTTAAAAAAGTAGTACCTTCAGTTCAAAAAAGTAGTACCTTCGGAGAAAAAGTAGTACCTTCGCGGGTGTTTAAAAAATATGATACCTGGACACCAAAAAGTAGTACCTTCAGTTCAAAAAAGTAGTACCTTCGGAGAAAAAGTAGTACCTTCGCGGGTGTTTAAAAAATATGATACCTGGACACCAAAAAGTAGTACCTTCAGTTCAAAAAAGTAGTACCTTCGAAGAAAAAGTAGTACTTTTGCGGAAGGGTATTTTAGGCACCACAATTTCTAAACAATAAAAAACCATGTGCCACCTCAGCAATCCATTTTAGAGAAATATAAAATTTTGACTCAGCTTCTAAGTAAATATGAAACTTTGACTCCATTTATATGTAATTTTTCCTAAAAATTATCTATGATAGTTTTTTAAAAAGGTAAATTATAACATATTAAAAAGTGGTGATATAATACTCTAATTTTTTTTTATTCAATATGTTTCATGATGTGAAACTCAATTATCTCATTATCTATTTATTATTTTATTAATAAATAAAACTTAGCCTATTTTGGAATAAAGACATCCCCTTATTATATTTGACAACCAAACAGAGCTTAAAAACGTATGAAAAGTTTAATTTGCCTTACATTATTTGATTAATTTTAATGGTAAAATATATAAAAATAAAAATAAATAAATAAATGACCTAATTGTCCTTCTCCTTTCTCTCTCTCTACGCACCTATGTCTAGATAAACCATCTGTGCAAATATATATATATATATATATATATATATTACTAGCAACCGTGAAATTTTCCGGCGAAGGATGAGCACGGTGCAGGCGACACAACCGTGAAAGTGTCCGGCGAATTGTATAGCTTTTTGGAGATGTTGTGCGCTTGTTTAGGAGAGCAATTCAAATTTGAAGAGCCGGAGCGGGAACCACAGTCGCCGGAGTCGATGGCGACACGGGATTTCTCCGCCAGTGGCCTTTCATCGTCGGGGACAGGGGACTGGGATTCAAAATTTGAAGATGCCCAAGTGGATGAAGCTGAGTCCACACTAAAAGAGGCTCTTTCCTTAAATTATGAGGTGGGTTTCTATGATTTTTTCTTTTGTTGCTTTGTTAGTTCTTTCATAGTTCTAGATTTCTAGTATTGGGTTTTGGATTAATTTGGTTTGTGTGAATTTTAGGAGGCGAGGGCTTTGTTGGGAAGGCTTGAATACCAAAGAGGGAACTTTGATGCTGCCCTTCAAGTGTTCCAACTCCAAGGGATTAACATTAAAAGTATATTACCAAGGATGACAAAGGCCGTAACTGAGAGAACTCGGCAGCGAGAGTCGCGTTCCAAAGGTGAAAATGTGCCAGTTGCTGTAATGTCACTGCATTCCATGAGCCTGCCTCTCGAAGCAATCTTGCTTAAAGCAAAGTCATTGGAAGAGCTTGGGCGGATTAAAGGTATATCTGATCTCCTCCCATTTGACAATTTATTTTGCTCTTATATCCTCTCAGTCGATCCAAACAATGCGACTTCTGAGTTTATTTACTTTTAAGGATGTTAGAATTCTTAAAAAATTATGACCTTATTGATGCATTTACCAGATATATGGTTTGAAATGTAAAGCATCTTTATTCCAAAATAGGCTAAATTTTATCTGTGTCCTTTTGGCAAATCTCATGGGGTGTTGCTGTACTTTACCCTTAATCTTATAAATTTTTATCTTTTTCCTAACTGCTATATTTCAATTTCTATATAAACCACTCATTCTATCTTCTTTCAATTATCAAGTCCACTTCTTTGCATTCTCAAGTCCATTATTTATTCTTTCAGTCTTCATCTTTCTTATACAAAAAAACAATAACTTCATCATCACTAGATTTACCCGTCTCCGAGTCTATTTCTCCATTGAATTCGTCAGATCCAGATAGGGAAGATATTTTTGAAATCCATCGAAAAAGAATGAACGATGTGAGGAGATTATTATCGCCTGATAGGGTGCGGGCATTCTTTCAACCTCATAAGAGAAAGTATATTAAACATGATCAAGAGGAGGCAGCACAACGGCTATTCCGAGATTACTTTGCTAAAAATGCAATTTATCCACCAAACATATTTCGTAGAAGGTTTCAGATGCGACGAGAGTTATTTCTTCACATTTTGAACGGTGTTACAGCATATGAAGAATGGTTTATCTAGAAACCCGATGCCCTCGGTCGTATGGGATTTACTTATATATAGAAGATGACTGCTGCAATCCGTATACTCGCATATGGAATTTCAGCTGATCTTTGTGACGAGTATATAAAGATTTCTGAGCACATTGCGATTAAAAGCTTCAAGAGGTTTTGTGATGCTATAATTGCTGTGTATGTGGAACAGTACCAACGTTCACCAAATGCAGACGACATTGCATGTCTGTTTCAAGAAGGGGAAGAGAGAGGATTTCCAGGTATGCATGGCTTTATAGATTGTATGCATTGGGAATAGAAGAATTGCCTTATAGCGTGGCATGGCACGCACACGGGAAGAAGCCATAAACCTACCCTCATATTGGAGGCCGTTGCATCGAAAAATATGTGGATCTGGCATGCTTTCTTTGGTATGGCTGGTTTACACAATGACTTAAATGTTTTCAATCATTCCCCAGTATTCAAGAGCATGATTAATGGTACAATGCCTCAGGTTAATTACGTGGTGAATGGGCATCGGCGTATAATGGAGTATTACCTATCTGATGGTATATATCCTAAGTGGACAACTTTGATGCAGATCATCCCACACCCAACAATTGTCAAAGAGAAATTGTTTGCTAACAAACAAGAAGCTGTTAGGAAAGATGTAGAACGAGCGTTTGGCGTGTTGCAGATAAGGTGGGCTATAACGCATCAACCGATATTTTATTGGAATACAGAAGATCTAAACAAGATAATGAAAACGTACATCATATTACACAATATGATCATTGAAGACGAGGCGAACACATTTTGCAATGGATATAGACGGATGACCTAATCTCCCTTTCACATTACATTCAAAACCCATCAATATTGGCGGCACACATTTCCTCTCGCCTAAGTAGGGTTCACAATAGATCAAACAATGCTGATCTTAGGAGAGATCTCATGGAACATTTGTGGAATCAATTTGGTGATGAAAATGCATAAATTTGTTGTAATCGAATAAAATATAATTTTTATATTGCTGATGAATAAAAAATATTTTAAAAAATATTTGTTTCGATTACATTTGTTAAGAAATTTAAAGAAATTTACATTACATATATAAATAAAAATTATATTAGCTTCCCACAGATAGAAAAAGAAAATTACATCATATAGCTTCACAAACTACCCTTTTTACTGAAACGTGCATAAATTTCATTTTGTTGATCAATGATCCATGCTTTTGCTGCTACTGTTGGAGCATCATTTGGATTTTTAAGCATCATTTCTCTTTCGAAATCAATTTGCTTTTTCTCAAATTCTAACTTTTTCATTTCTTTTTGCGCCTCAAATTCCAACCTTTTTAATTCTTTTTGCGCCTCAATGTCCATTCTTTTTGTACGTTCTTGCTCAAACCTAAATCAAATGTAACTTTCAATTTCATTTTTTGAGATTCGACTGCCAAGGCATTCATTAACACACTTTGATGGCTAAAATCTTTAAATTGTTCTAGAAACAAGTTATGTTGTACCTTCTCTTTGCTTTTTTTGCGACCCTCCTTAGATGTTTTTCGTCCAGGGGATCGTACAATGCCATGCGAACTTTCAACACTAATTACAAGTGAATCATCGTCGCCAAGGTTTACTGAACCTGGTGTTGATACTCTAGGTGTTGACGGAGAAGATGGATTGGTTTGGACTATTGACAAAGTAGGTTGAACAGATCTGGCCAATTTCCAGGCTCATTCATATCGATCTCCATTATTATTTTGTTTTTCCCTTTATCATTGCTGTTGGAAATGGAATTCTATTTTAACAAATTCTTTAAAATACACCAACAGTGATCCAACTTAAATGGCTCATTTTTTTACATATTAAATACATTTCTTACTTCATTGAGATACAAAAAATAACCAATAATTGAAATTAGTTAGATTGCCAATTAAAATAAATAAATTTTTAAAAAAATTTACAAAGTAAAAAACTTACTACATCTTTAACGTTGAAGCCACTAGGAGTATGATGTTGGATCTATTTGTAATATCTAGAAAATTTGTTAACAGTTTTTTTAATGTGTGAGAAACGATTTTGCAAACCTAATACATTTCGGGACATCGTGCCCCCTGGTTGCCGAATAAAATTTTCATGGACTCGTTGCCAATACGTGATTTGCTTTTGATGCGAACCAGTTATTGGACCCCAATGTTAACCCATGCTTTGCATAATGTTTCATCTTCTTCAATAGACCATTTTTGTTTCGTACGCCTAGAATTATGTTGGGTTTGAGATGGTTGGCATTGAGAAGGTTGGAACTAAGATGTCTAAGACTGAGATGGTTGGGATTAAGATGGTTGGAACTGAGATGGTTGGAATTGAGATGACTGGAATTGAGAAGGTTCGAATTGGAAAAAAGAGTATTAGGGTTGAGATGGATTTTCGGATTGAAATTTTTTTGAAGAATCCAAATTATAATTGATTGCAGTGGTAATTCAGAATTATGAGATTAGTTGAGATGGGGGCGAAAGAATGGAGGTGGAGGATTCATATAGATGAATGTTACAAAAATAATTGAGAGAAAGAATTATTGAAGATGAGAATTAGTATTTATAGAGTAAATAAAATAGCTATTTTAAAATAGTTGTTTATTGTCGTTTTAAAAGAGTCGTTTCAAAGCTGCTATCTCTTTTTTAGTTTCTATCCATAGATTCTTTGTGAATCCATGCAAGACAGAGCAGCCAATAAACAAAGTAAAGAATATAATAGATATGCTCCAAACTATTCTCTGTCTATAGAGAAGACCATAGAGAATGTAACGACCCGAACCCAAGGGTTCGAATCGTTAACCGGGTCCTTACTCGAATCCGAGGTCGTCTAAGGGCACTATGGTCAATTCCAATGTCAATACACGATATACATGCCATCCCAAGGCTCATACCAAACAAATTAGATCACATATACAAGAGATGTCATAACAATCCACTAACTCGTTCAAACTTGTGGAGAAGCGTCGTCCGCCACTTCTCTTCTGTGTCCTCAAAAATATTAAAATAAGGGGTGAGCACAAGGCTCAGTATAAGTCGTCCAAGGCGTCAGTTTTGGACTCTCTTGAGCCATATAACAAATAAAAGGATAGAAAAGAAACCGGGGTCATACAATGGAAGTCCGTATAACATTTACAACTTAATAGGCAACAATCTCAACACATAACACAATTCTACAAAATGATGTGCATGATATGAAATGTGATGCACCCATCCCAAAATTTGGTCCATACCGACCTAACTTTCACTTTCAAAAACCCGCTAACTGACTTTACCGAGGCGAAATTGATAACTATCCCAGGTTCCAATTCTGGCAAGGCCTGACAACTGTTAAATGACCTAGTATCAACTTTTTTATGCCCTACATCGGGCCGCTCTCCCTCTAGGTCAAGCTAGCCCTGGACTTACGAAATCCAGTTCATTTTTAAAAAATACTTCCCCTCTTTGAAATAAGACTTCACTTTCTAGAAGGAAAAAAAAAATCCATTTCAAATCATTTCCAAATCTTCTTTCTTGCCATGTCATGCAATGCACCATGTTATGTCCTTTAAACATCAATCTCAACAATATAACATTAATACATGTACATGGCAGTACAGTTCAAAGAACTTAATCAAGGCATTCTATAGTAATTAATCAAGATCGTGGCATGCTTTGAAAATTTAATACAACAAGTCACATCATTGTTTCAAGAACGAAATTTACAAGAATTGTCTATGAGCATGCCCAACATAAAATTATATACACACCAATGTAAAACTATCCCTTAGACATCAGCAAAAATTTCATATACCAAATCTTGCAAGTCTTTGATACAAAATTTAAAACAAGTCATGCTTTAATACTTGAGCTTATACATAAAACAACAATTTAACATTAAAGTTTAAAATTCTGAAAATTTAATAAGTAGGGATGTAATTTGCTCAATCAAAAGACAAAACTAGAAGCATTAGAAGGACTCCTACATCACAAGAAGAACAACCCAAGCAAAGCCTCAATGAAACCCCAAATCAGCCCTAATCCGAATCCCAAAGATGCTGCAAACTGAAAATTGCTCCGATTAAAACGAAGGTCTCGACACGCTCATCAACTTTGCCTTGAGTGGCAAAATCAAATACCCAAGAGAATGGTGAGAATCAAGCTTTGAATGGTGAAAAAAGAAAGAAAAAAGAAATTACAGATTGAGAGAAGAGAAACTAACGAGAGAGAGAGAGAGAAGGGAAATAGTCTGCAAAATGACCATTGGTCATTATAATAACCAAGTCAAAATGAAGCCAGCAGAAAAATAAAAATAAGAAATATTAAAGAGAAGTCTTTGTGGGGGGCCACAAAAAGGGCATTCAATTTTGAATGCATACCGCGCCCCTCTATCTCTCTACTTTTCAAACTTCTTCTCTATAATTTGATGCGCCACAGATGCTCTAAAATATGTTTATAGGGCATATTGCACCCCTCTCATGCAAAAAATACCCCTAAATTATGAAATTTGTGCAAATAGGTCCTCCTTACACATTTAGGATAAAATTAGACTAAAATACCCTTAGTGACACATTTTATAAAATATTTAAAAATAATAATATGATGTGAAATGACTAAAAAAGTACCCAAAACCCATCTTCTTCAACTCCAACATGGTGAGGAGAAAAAAAAATCCGCCCAACGAAATATCCACCAGCGCATTAAAACCCACCCGCGAAGCTTCACCACCATCCACGTACAGACCACTGTAAAAATAAGAATTGTTTCCGGTGCCGGTGAATGGGTTGGAGGACAACGGGGATTTCTTTTAAGAAAGGTCATCACAAGCGACTTACCGTCGGCATTCTTTTCAAAATCATCCGTTTTTGCGACTTAAACTTTTCCTCGTCTTCCTCTTCTTTGATTTGAGTGCTGGATTAGTAAACTGGTGTTACATATATATATATATAACTTGCTTAGAAATTAATTGTCGAACAAATTCTTGCACTATAATTAAGAATTAATTTGGAAAAAAAAATCTAGGAGACTATACAACACTTTAAACTCCTTCTCTCTCTCTCTCCCTATATATATATATATATATATATATATATATATATATATATCAGTAGGTTTAATCATCCTTTTCGCAGCTCTCAACCGCGCCGCTGTTCTCTGTTTTTTTTACATAATCTCCAGTAATTTTTATTTGTGGGGACCAATTAGTAATATGAAAATAAATTTTCAAAAATATATAATGTAATCTTTTCTTTACATTAGAATTTGAAAAGTAGATCGGAATAAAAAAATTTATAAGTTAATTAGAGTATCTCAAAAATCACCAAATGCACAAATGAGAAAAATAATAGAGATAGAATCATATGAATTTGATTCGGAATTATTTTAACATTTCTTCAAATGTGGGCTTCCAAAAGTAAGACTTGAAATACTGAAATTCAAATTTTTATAAATTTTAGAAGAGCCACATGTTTAAATCTAGTTAGTATTTGGAAATATAATATTTATAAGAATTTATATTATTTATAAGAATCTATGTTTTAGGAATTTTGTAAAAAAAATCGGTCCTTGGTCCCGGCATAGTCCCGTTTGTGATAAGATAGGTGGGTATGTAACAATATTCAATAGCTTAAGTTTTTATAAGATGGGTGGGTATGCAGCAATATTCAATAACATAAATTTTTAGGTAAATGGGCAAACGTCCACACGTTGGTATCAAAATCAGACCCAATTCTTAATTCGGTGTCACGCCAAGCACACGACGCGGAGGGCAACCGGGTCTGGACTAGGTAAGCAAGGTGGCCAGACCACAACGAGGGCGTTACCTAGGTTTGGGTGTCCCACATCGGATCTGAATAGAAATTTAAGTGTATAAATTGGTAGGTATGTAACACTATCCAATAATTTAAACTTTTAAATAAATAGACAATCCCACCCCAACCCACATACGCAACACGCGAGCCCATGCAGCCTCGCATTCCTTCTTTTGATATTGCCTCGCCCAGTGCCTTGCAGCTGGCAAACAAATTTTAAGAGTGAGGGTAGATGCATAAGTAAAAAATGTTGAGTGAAGCTGTGTAAGCACGAGTTTAGTTATTTTTGATAATTTGGTATATTAATTTAGCCCATGATTCCTTATGTAAATTATTCCCCACACTTTTTGGTGCTAATAGTAAATAAGAAATATTATACGTAGTGGATTGTGTTAAGTGAAACAATGTTACAAGAGGTTTCAACCATTCCACTTAAATAATTTTAGATGAATTTATTGTCGCTTATAATACATTTATAATATTTTATTTGCACAACAATTATGAGGAAATTTTGTTGTCGTTAGTTCTACCTCTTCAAAGCCTATCATATACGCTCTTCCTAAATAAAAACAATCTTTTTTTTTAGTCATAGATTTGATTTTGTTGAGATTTTAAGTAAGAGGCTTCAGTTGTATACAAATGGAAGTTGTTTAATAGAGGACATTCAATGTCTCTCAAATTGACAACTATTTATAATTGATATTTTTCCTTATGTTTGTTGAAAAGAATAAAGTTTTTATATGATGTATGCTGATTTATATATACAGTATGTTGATTATTATTTTGGGTTAAATGCAAAAAAACCCCTTGAACTATAAGGGTTTTGCAACTAACCCCTGAACTACAAGATCCCCCCTGAACTATGAATTTGTTGCAATTTGCCCACTCAGGCCACCGAAAAAGTAAAAAGACGAAGCTGCCCTTCCCAATTTCTTATAATCTCAATACAATCAAACCCCTAACCCAACCTTCATTTTATTAACGCTACACAAACTGCAGAAAAGGAAGAAGTGGCGGTAGCGGCGGTGGGGAAGAAATGCAGCGGTGAGCTCGGCGGGCTGGTTCGGCGGTGGCTCGGCTGTGGATGACTCGGTTTGATTGTCGATGGAAGTCATCAATCCGGTTCATCGGAGTAAAACTAGTAGAGAGAGGAGACCGACGGGCAGTAGATTCTGGCGAGATTGTTAGCGATGAGTGTTGTTGCTTGGGTTCGAATCGTGCGGCTATGGTTTGGGTTCGCGAATAGGTCTTACAGCTTAGGTATGGCAAGAGTGGATTTGTTGGGTGCTAAACCAAACTCTCTGTTACCTTTTCCCTAGCCCGAGGATCGTGAGAAATCCTCTACAAATCCTCTATAAAATACTTCCTAAGATGTTCTAGAATTTTTTTTGTAAATCCTGTATATTCTAATAATACATAATAAGATGTTCTAGAATTGCTTAGTAGTTATCTTTTTAAAAACATATCTGACATATTTTGTTGTTAGATAAGTTAATTTTGTTTAAATGTGCATTAAAAGATTAACCTCCATTTATGCTTTGACAAGAATTTGGGCTTTGTGTTTGTGCAAATGCAAGCATAATAATCATGTTGTCTTCATGATCATAATAATCAAGCATAACAATCATTTTGTCTTCTTGGTTAAAGTGATACCACCGACTCCCTCACCTCGTTGCCGTTCTTTGCAAATTGAGAGATCTCTTTGCAATTCGTCAGCCGTGGATGTGGAACAGAGCATCGGAAGCCATACGCTGCTGCCGCCGAAATTTGCATTGATCATCGTCTTAGCCGCCGAGTGAGAGAAAGAGAGAAGGGTGAAGGTGATGGCAGCCGGCGAGCGAGAGAGAGCTCAGCGGTGTAAAGCACGGTTGTGGAGATTTCGGCTGGTGGAGAACTCGGTGGTGCAAAACAACGACTAGAGAAGTTGCGATTATCAGAGACTGGTACAGCGGCGATGGATCCGGCGTTGGCGACGACGGCGATTTACAGAAAAAGGGCAATATGGGTTGTGGATGAACTTCGGCAGTGCTCGGATGGGGGTGAGACGGCGACGGCGACGGCGAGCTTTCGCAGCAATGGGTGGCGAGTTGTGGAGAGGACTCAGCCACGATGGGGTACTTGGCGGTGTGATGGCAGTGGCGAGCTTGCCTTGGATGATGCAAATTAAAGGCATTTTAGTCCTTTCATGCATCTAAGGGCAGTATAGTCTTTTAAAATAAGTCATCTATTTTTAACGGCCAACTTTCACCGGAATTTGGCCGGATAGGGTGATTTGCAATAAATTTGCATAGTTCAGGGGGTTTCTTGCATTTTTGATAGTTCAGGGGTTAGTTGCAGATTTCTTTATAGTTCGGGGAGATATTTTTGCATTTAACCCTATTATTTAATTATAAAAATTGATATCTCAAAAATCGTGTACATCCATGGTTATACTGCTAGTTTCCAATAAGAGCACAAAGACAAGTATATATGCGGCAATGACTTTTTTATCTAAAACAAAATGCCCACTAAAATATGTTTGATATGAACATCATGCAGAAGATTCAAGAATTCCTGAATTGTAGCAGTGTGGAAATGATTTGACAATCTTAATAAAGTGGAGTTCCTCCGTTTAGATTTCATGCACTTGTTGATTGGCTTCCAGTAATTTGGGAGGTAAAGCTTTGAGGAGCAAGCTGAGCAAAATGTTGTTTACTGCTGTTGTGCAAGCTACGTGACTAGATAGGAACCAAAGGATGCATATACAAGGAGGGAAGCATTTGATCTTTTCAAGGAATGTCCTCTTTGATACTTTTGAGGAAGCAAACAATTATTGGGTAGAAGATATTGTTGTTTGAGTGTGTTTTCCTTTATTTGAGTAGTCAAGTCTCTCTTACTTGTATTTGTTTTGTCATTTTTGTGAGAGCTAATGCCATGTTATGTGTACTTTTATTTCATATTTTTAATAAAATAAATCCATTCAAATAATAATAATAATAATAATAATAAAACATTTCAATTCAAAAAATAATAATAAAACATTTCAATTCAAATAATAATAATAATAATAAAACATTCAATTGGGATAACTTAACTATCTTTTATTATTATTTAGAGGATTGGCAAAGGTAAAATGAACAAGTGAGAGTTGGTAATAGAAATAATACACCAACAGGCCTATAGCGGTATGGCGAGTCAAATATTCAGGACTTTCATCCGGGATAGTAAAGGCAAAATAGTTATTAAAAGAGTTTCAACAAATATTTTGTCAAATCGATAAAAAAAAACTCCTCTTTTAATTATGGTTCCCAAACACTAATGTAGAAGGCAAATGAAAGTGATAACATCATATGAAAAAACATTAACAATGCTACTTTGTGAGAACAGTTGCTTTGTACAAATAATGATAGAACATCCTATACATGCAAGACGACTCCTCTCAATACTCTTGATTAATGTTGATAAATTTTTCTGAATACGTGACTTTGTTATATGCTTCTCCCTGTAGCATTTGAGGTATTGTTTGGAACTTTAAGTTTTCGCCTTCCGGACAAAAATTTTAAAAATAAAAAACCATTTTTTCAAATAATATATATTTTTGATAAGTAATTTTTTAATTAATTAACCTAATTAAGGTGTTAAATATTAAGTCACACAAAGCGATAATGAAGGCGGCAAAATTTAAAATTTGGTCAGAGCACGTGAAAACGCATATTATGTGTATATAAAATAAAAAAGGTGTTTGAACTATAAATAACCTTATTTCTTTTATATTAAAAGATATATAATATTAAAATTAAAAAAATACAAAATTTATACCCTATCTTTTTATTCTTACATAAATGCGATGGGAAAAATTCATATATTTATTCTATTACATTCTTAAAAAGAGATTGTTTAATTTTTCATACTTGAAATGATTACTTCGAAGAATTATAAAATAATAAACATCTTAACTAATAAAAGTAAAACTTAAAATATCTGTATATATATTTTATTTGCAAATATATATGTATTTATAAAATGTACACACAACTAATTTTTTAGACTTAAATAAGAAAACAAAAATTAATATGGTAATGATATGTTATTCTTCTTTAGCAATGTAAGTTTATTCTTCACATTTTTAATCTTTTGTATTCAGTATTAAGCACATTTGGTTTATTCTCATCAATAATAAATGTCACATATAATTATTCATAATTCAATGAATGAGAAATCCTCGTGAATTCGAGAAGATTTTCGGAGGCTACTTTGTTGAGTCTGTGACAAGCTTCTCCCAGAAGCATTTGAGATGGCCCAGCAATTTTTTGCAATAGGGAAGATTTTCTTTGATGACAGTAACTTCTTTAAAATTTTGAACCCATGCACACAAGTGAGGCAAAGTGCTTGGTTCTAGCAGTTTTACCCCAATCACTTCTTCCAAGCAGTCTAACCAGTGAGCAAACCATCCAAGTGAGATGTCTAACAAACTATGGCATTGCCACCAAAGAACTTGTTATCTCCAAGAGTCCAAGGCCTTTCTCTTCTATGAATTTCAGCACTTCCAATGCTTCTTTGATTGCTTCTCTTGTACCTTTCCACTTCCAAAAAGGGGCAAAAAAATTGGGACCCTATATATGATCACAAATATATAATTCTTCTCGATAATAGTATATGGTAGGAAAAAAAATTGAATATACATAATACAAAATACTCCAGGTTCCAAAGTTTTTGGGAGTGTTTGGAAATATTATAAAAAAGAGTTAATTTCATTAATACCCCCTTAGGTTTGGTCAAATATTATTCTTAAATATTTTTTGAAAATAACTATCACTTAGGTCTATTTTTGCTTTTATGTCAGTGTCTCCGTTAAAAATATAAAAAAAAACAAATTTGCCCCTAATTTTTTAATCAAGTTATTCTAAAATATCAATAATGTAAATGACTTTTATACTTCTATTTAAACCATTACCTACCCACTATCAGCCACATTACCGCCAATACACAAACACACACTATTTCTCTCTCCTCTATCGCCTTCTCTCTCTCTATCTCTCCCCTCTTTCTCTACTGTCTCTCTCTTTTTAGAGCCTCCAACTTCTCTGAAACCGAAGAACACATCCAACCACCTTCGCCAGAAACTAGATAACCCATTCGCAATTGCACCCATGGTGCCGGCAATAATCATCAACATAACATTGGCGGATTCTGCAAATGAGAATAACTTGAAAAATGGAACTATATTGGTGCTCTCGTCTTCCTTGCTCTTTTCCATGTTTCTTTGAACTCCATTCACTCCACAACTTCTCTGGGCCTCTATTCCCAGTGTATGGCTTCTTGATGTGGAGGCCATATCATCACTTCAAATGGCTAAGAATAGATACGAAATAATAATAGTAGTAATAATTTTAATAATTCAATTGAAAAGAAAAATGAAAGCTCCATTCCCTAAATTGAAAACCAAATTATCAGAGTAAATGACAGCTCCATTTCCTAAATTTAAAACCATATCATTTCACTAATTGGCAGCTCCACTTCTAAATTTAAAACCATATCATTTCACTTCAAGAAAAATTATAGTTTTTGCATCCAAAATTTAAATTTGGGAAAATTATATTTTGGTGACCAAAATTAAACATAATTATTTTATAATAACTTTAAAGTCAAGAAAAGGTGAATAGTGACCAATGTTGAAACTTAATTGATATTAAGTGATCATTTGATGGTTTATTACCTAAATAACCTTCTTATAATATATTATTATGTAAGTGAACAAATTTACCCTCTACATTAACCTAAATAAACACTTACTTAAATTGACTAACAAAAAGACGACAAATTATTAGAGTAAGTCTCTGAAGAGAAGATCAAGATGGGAGAGAATTGAGGACGGATGTTCTACATCGTTTTCTTCAAGGTTCTAAGAGGTAGGACGAGAAAATTGTAAATTTTCTTCTTATTCATTATTTTCAAGGTATAGTTATTATACTTTACAAGTTGATTTGTTTGAGAGATCTTCCTTAAGATATAAGATTGTAATTTTTAGGAATTTTTTAATATTACTTAGTTATAGTTTAAGAAATAATGACCATTGTTGATTAATTTCATAATTTTGCCAATTGTTAATGGGTGTTTCAAAAGTATGATTTGCTACTGTAAATGTCATGAGCGTTCATGGTGGAGAGCCTTGCAAAATAGATAAATGGTAGAAAAGAGATAATGTTGATAAAGAAATCTTAATTTTTTAAATTGGTATATTGTAAACTAAAAAGGAAAAAAGAAAATGTTAGATTAGAGAAAACATTGGATTAGGGAGAGAGAGAGAGAGAGTAGGAGGATGAAGTCAATGATTTATTATTTGTATTGGATGGCAATTTTGTCATTTAAAATTTATTTTTAAAATGTTTATCAAATCTTTAAGTGTTTTTGACCAAATTATCCCCAAATAGTCACTTAATATTAAT